CGGGTTCGAGGGAGGTGGTTTGTTAAATGATTCGCGCGTCGTCCGTCGTCTGTGGTAAGCCGAGGTCTGGATCCTGTTAGGCCGAGTCTTAGCCTCAGTGAAACCCCCACTGGAAGCGATATCCAAACGCAGGCCGAGACAGCTAGGGACAGGTACAGGCAAACTTACCCAGGTTATGTTTGTCTAGGAACGGGTATCTTGAAGAAGAGAAGAATGAGAGAGAGCTGCACACTGAATGGTAGAAGGAGGACAAAGAGAAGCTGGTGTTGCGGCAGAGGGTGGCTTCTATAACGTCCCGGTTCGGACGCCTTGCGCTGTCCCTGACTTGCGAGGTTGCCGAGGCTTGGACGGTTGCCACTGGATCCGGGCAGTCCACACATCACATGCAGCCTGCCCCCCCCCCCGCCCAAACAACAGCTCAATGTGGAATTCCCCGAGCTCGTCGGTCCTCTCGCGAAGAGACCAGCAACCCCCTGTTACCCCAGTTTTACCCCAAGTTGAGCCCGGCAAAAAGTCAGTCGCAAAGCTGCTGATGGAACGTGGGAGGACACTTCAATGACATGTGATGCATTGAGGTCCAAGAAAGGCTGCAGCCTTGGCGACACTGGGCTCATCACTTGATCAAATCCTCACTTCGGACCACGGCCACGTCCTTGCCTTAATTGCATCGCAATGGCCGAGGATGTTGTCGACTGCAGACCGACACATGGCCGTGGGAACATTTGGACCTTGGGTGTCGGAATTGAACCATCAACCCCAAAGTCTCCAACCGGGGGCTTGTAAGGCTTGGCTCTGAAGTTAGCCAGCGCCAGGCGCTCTTACAAATCCTAGCCCACCGATTCGTCGCCGCCTTCGTCTTCACACCCGATGAATCAGCTGACGTCACTGGAGATTCCGTGCGCTGATGGAACTAACACCTCGAACATGAGGCTTCAAATATTCATTGTTTTATGATACTAGATACACTTTGACTATTGGATTCGAGGCTCCGAGCGAAGGCAAAAGAGGATTGCCAATTCCATGAGAACGGCTTGCCTCCACCGGTCAGGTGGCGCGATGCCCAGAATAGGATTTGGAATGGCTTCATATTTGTAGTGTAGGTTCAAATGCAACTATGTCCCCATGTAAGCAAACTACGCGTGCTCGCTGATTCTTGCTAATTCATACCGAAAATTAAGTAAACAAGAAACCCATTGAATCCATATCTAATTCCTACGCCGAACAGCCCAGCCAGATCTTGGTGATGTTTTTGAACTCCCGCCAGCCGTTATCCATTCTCCCCATTCCTAACAACACATTGCTCCCTTACCACCCTCCCCCTTCACTCAAGCTCAATCTCAACCTTCTCCGCAATCACATACCAAATCGCCGCCTCAACAATCCGACAAACAATCTTCAAGTCACTCTCATCTGTCCACATCATCTCACGTCAGCCCTCTCACATCAACCCCATAGGTAGGTAGGTAGGTAGGTATCAAAAACAAAGAATAGAGAACTCACCCCTAGGAGCATAAACCATACTAAACGTCTCCGGCAACGGCGCCCTAACCCACCCGCTCCACGCCATCGGATGCCTCTGCCCCCACCCCTTCTCCAAAATCTCCTTGATATCATCCGGGTGCAAGTTCATATGCATCGACCGATCCGAACTGTGAATATGGACAATCTCCCCGTTCCCACAAACATTCAACGGGTGTCTCGCAAACAGCGCAAACCCGTGCTTCTCCAGACAAGACGTTGCGGTGACAAACACACTGGGGTGCTTCTTTGACAGGTTCTCGAGTGCTGCCCTCAGTCGGTTGTAGCACTCTACTGAGCCGTGCTGGTTTAGCTGACGCTGGGGTGCCAGACCGGCTACGGTTGGGCGAGGGCCCGGGCGGTAAGGGAGTTTGGATAGGATCCCGGTGGAGGGGGAGGAGACGACGTCCCGAGGGGGGGGTGTGAAGGGGTCGCGGAGGGTGAAGAGGCGGTAAAAGGTTAGACGGGCGTAGCCGGAGGGGGTGGGGGGTGTCCCACCGGGGCCGAGCTTGAGGAAGTTGAGGTAGTCGTTGTGGATGAGGAGGGCGATGGGGACGGCGATGATGAGGAACTCGAGGAGGAGGTGGTCAACGAAGTGCATTCCCAGGACTGTCAGGATGGAGACGGCCAGGAGGGCGGAGGCGTCGAGTGTTACGTAGAATGGGTCTTGGCGGATGACCATGTTGACGGTGGGTTGCTGTTGTTGGGAGGACGGGTCGGCGGGTAGGGAGGACATGGTTTTTGATGGCTCTGAGGTGACTGTGAGAGACATTTTGGACGATGCGATATCGTTAATATTGGTGGTGATATTGGTGTTGGGACTGTTGTGAGAGCACTCTGGGACCTAACAGTCCGAGCTATTTTGATTGATTTCAGCGTCGAGATGTCCAGCTGTTAGCAAAGCCAATATTCATGTCAGTGAGATGGATGGTTGTGGTTATCGGTTGGGCTTGAGCATTCTTCAACACAGGGAGAGGACGAGATGGTCTTGTACGGCGATTCTATGTGCCTCCCGGGTCACTAGGGGTGAAAGCGGAAGAGGGCGGAGATATACAAGTAATACCAAGCGATTATCGGCAGCAAGGCAGGTGAGACAACAGGTTGAGTTTCCAGAGTGTTCTAGTGAAGCGTGATGGCTCACTGCATATATAGACGATTCGGTGAAGACCACACGGCCCATGCCACGACAAGGTGCATATTTGAAGCCCTGGTGTCTAGGATGTAAGGATGTGAAAGATCATGAACGACTGGTGGAACAATGGTGTCACCATGCGTTTAAGTGGGCCGCAGAGCAGGGCAGAGGGGGGCTGTCATCACTCGATGAGAACAAAGCAACCCTTTCCGTTCGGGTGGTAGCCGTAAGCTGATGCCCACTCAGGGTACCAAGCCCGCCCGATGCTGATCCCAGCTGCATGTATGCGACTTATGAAGGAGCTAGCTTCAAATGCAGATGTCAAACGTGATATCTCGTAGATTCCGAAAGTTATGTTTTGTTGGATGGGAAACTGTTGTGTTCAGGAAGACAGTTTTCTTTCATGAGGAGGACGTCATGGTGGACTCGAGGGTTTGATCTGCATTGGCGTGTGTCTTCCATTGATGAATTTTGCTTGGGAGATAGGAATTAATAGACGTGGTGACGTCTGTTGATGATATGTGCAAGGTGTCTCACCCAAAGGCAACTTCCGTGTAAGTCGAACATCAAAAAGTGCCATTGCCTCGTTGCAGCCTTCGATGCCTTTGGTTTGCAATAGCATCAACCTCAAGTCGACAAACCATTCCAACTTGGAGAGTCCGAAAATGTTTCGGTTCTACCATGCCCGTTATTCAAATCAACTATTGTACTGCCATCCCACGCACTCAGGTTCCCCTCTCGGACGCATTCTTCAAAACTTGAAGAACTGGCAGGTCTTATGATCTACTGCATTGAAGAAAAGCCATCTGATTCGTCTATACCCAGCCTATTCACACTGCAGAGCTAACGATGCGAGTACACCCGGACCAACAACCAAGGCGGCCTATAGACGATGTTGTGGCTTTTCGACGTTACTGACCTGTGTCTTTCATCGACGATCATGCAGCATGGATGCTCTTTTGCACCAAAAAAGGGAAGCCGAAAGCAAATGAAACTGTCAAGTCACACCGAGGAATTGGACGATCTTGCCATCAAGTCGCATCAGTCTCAATTGATTGCAGAAAATGAAGCGATGTGATATATTTTCAATAGAATTAATGTCGCGTAAGGTAGTGAAGTCTGGCAGCGACGTCATAGAATGGTGGTGGAGGAGATGAGCTTGGTGGGGTGTTGCCGTGGATACCACGGTCCAAAAGTCAATAAAAAATGATCAACGTTTCTACTGGAGCATGGGATGACAATCACCCAGATACAAGAGCTTTTCAGTGATGCCTTGCGATGATATATCATGTGGCTATGTCTGGCCGCTCCTCGACCATGAAGAGGTACCATTCAGGCGAGGTAGGTACACCCACATTCATGTATGATCAGTGAGCTCGCATGCGCTGTCATGGATATTTAGGTATCTAGCTAAGTGCATAGCCCCTCTAGACGAATATAACAGGTGACTGAACAGTTGCCGACTTTCCTAAATTTATGCCGTTGACGGTGCTATCATAACTATCTGCTTCAGCTACTTGGTTGATGAAGCCAGGCTGTAAGACATAACCAAACAAAAGCAACCTCTACAGCTTCTTGGGCCACAACCATTCTGCTGTTCGTTGGGCTCATTGAGTGTGGTTGAATACTGCCCTCTTGTGGCATTTCTGCTGAGCTGAACCCCGACTAACATTTATTTTTCAACTGGAAGGCACTTCGAGCCGGTTCTTTCTTCATAGAGTTTTCCATGCTCGCTTGACATCCTGCTCGAACCACAAGGCTCCTTGGCTCCCTCTTCTGCTGAACACGGCGCTGGCCGCTGTTTGCACAGTCTGCTACCTGCTCATTATCATTCTTTATTTGGCCCCAAATGGCTATCAAATCAAGTCGTTATTGCATCCGGGCGTCGGCACAATCAAACCTACCGCCGTTGTGGGTTTTGCTGCAACCCTCGCCGCCTCAACATCGACCTTGGTAACAAGCTGCATGGAGCAATCGTTTAGCTTGCTTCTGGAGCGTCAAGAAGCAGTAGTCGCGCGTCAAATCGAAGCTAACTTTGACATGGCTACCTTGCAGGCCTTTGCCAAAGATCTGAATGCTTCCAGTCTGGTGTTGACCTATTCCAAGACCACTGCCGTGTATGTTTACAGCCCCATGTTTCTGCTTGCTCTTCGTGCGCCGTTTCTAGCAGTAATACTCGAAACCTGGGGCCGGTGCATGTCGGCAGCGCCGAAGGAGTTATAGGTATGACCCCATAGCTACTACTCGTCTTGGGCCTGTTGGGGGCCTTGCATCAGGTCCAACTCGAGCATCACCCACAACTGGAAGGAGTCCTCAGAATGAAGGAAAATCTAACAAATCACACACAAATCCCAGATGCCAAAACCAAAAAGCCCTGAACGCCATGTCTCCACTTAACGTTTTCAACTGAGGTCCTCTGATGAAAGCCCCGACCCCAGAGCGGGCCGCAATGTCTGCTCTGGAGTCAATATTGTGATGGCTCAGGGTAGACCCAGCCCCGGACTTGGTTCTTGGCGTGAGGCGTTGCCCCTGCGATCAAGTTAGGTAAAAGTTAACTTTGAGTTTTGGACATACAAGCCACCTACCCGGGTAGTAGGTGAGTGGCTTGATGCCACTGGTTCTGGAGGGCCCATTATGAAGGAAACCCAGATTTAAGCTAGGTCGGCACATCTCACTTCGTTCATCACAGTATTTCCACTCAGATCAAGTGCCCGCTCCTCTTCTCAAGGCCGACTTTGAAGTCTCTCAGTATCTCTCGTCAATTGGACGGACAGTACCACTCAAACGACGGCCAACCTACGAGCGACATATCGAAAAGAATAATCAAGACTTGCTACATGCCCAAAATGTTTAGACAATGCTACGAGATTTGGCCTGGTGACGCGCCAGCGGGCGCCGAGGTTCGTGAGGCCGCACAAATCCTCGTTGATATGTCAGCCAGCGCTTGGGAGCGGGACAATGCCGCCGAGTGTCCTCCGCTCCTTACCAAAGGTCCTCGCGCTCCCGAACGACCACATCCCGAGGTCCTCGAACAAGATGAGGCTCTCGACCCTGATGCCACGGATGAAGAAAATTACGACGACGTTGCTGGCCCTTCCAATCATCAACCACAACCGTCGTCAAGCAAGAGGGGTAGGGCTGAACAGCGAGCGCAGCGGCTACAGAGAGATGGCGTGCTCCAGACCGGCGATGCTCGTTGCGAAACGTGCAAAGCGTACGAGAGTAGCTCCAAACCAAGCCCAAAAAGTCGTAAAAGCGGCTTTCAATGCCGTATACTGGAGGGAGAATCCCGCGCTTGTGCTCGCTGCGTTGCTGGGCGGGAAAGATGCAGTTTGGTCGGACGTAAACGACACCAAGAGGCCGAACAACTCGAAACATCTAAGCGACGCAAGGGATGAGCCCCCTCTGGCACTCGGCACCCACCTACAACATATATACACCTTCACCTCGTCTTACGACGCCTCCTCTCATTCACCTTGGCACTTGTCGACAACCCTTTGGGCATTTACTGACCGTGACCTTCAAGACCCGTCAATTACACAAAGAGACCCCCCCTTACCGGGACGGACCCACCTAATATCTGGGGCTTGACGGCTTTTCAAGTTTGCAAATCAAGCCAAAAGGAAGGCTTGATTTAACTTGGTTAAAAATGAGCTTTACTTGACTTGATTTACTTACTTATTTGACTTGACCGTCAAGTAAGTAATTGCTTGACTTAGTATCTCTACACGCTCAGCCGGCGCTTCAAAGTTCAGCATAAACGCCACATAGACCGCCATCAGTGGACGGATTTTCCAGTTGTCCTTACTTTAAGGATTTGATTGATGAAGCCTTCTCGATAAAATTTAATCATAGCTGATGATATATGATAGAACGACAGTGTCTCATGCTTCAAAACTTGTAGATGTTAAAGGAAGCCCGGAGAACGACATCTGGCATGCAACACTTCAACTCGATCATCAGGTGACTTGGTTTGTAGATTATTTGAGACATTTCAAGTATCATCTGTCACCTGCTGCCTGACTGTTCAAAAAGAAGATGTGAATGAAGGATGTTTTGGACTTGGGGGGAACGACCTGATATGCCAAGACGTGCCCCCTTTTTACCCCTACTCCCGTCCGTGCTTCACAACATATTGGCACCAGACTGACCGTGGCCGCACCACTCTTGCATCAAAAAACGAAATTAATTCGGAAGAGTGTTCACAATGATTTAGTTTTGGGCTCTTCAAAGCCGTCCAGTTCGAGTGCCTGAACATTACTATTCTCTGACAATAGTATACTTCTCAACAGCGGACAAAGGAATCTGAACAACCCCGTTGTCTCTATTCCCAGGCTTCAACAAAGCAATCACAAGGCTTCCACATTCAAGGCCACCATCAACATTGCCATTTAAACACTTTGATATCCCTCGACCTCAAGTGAGATCTTTTCATCCCGCACACCAGTCAAGCATTCCCTCCCTTCAAGTCCCTCTGTCTCTAGAACCAGTCCCGGTGACATAAGGTTTACTTCTCTGAAGCAAGGAATCAACTGGTGGTGTCACCAACATTCATTGCTTTCCTACTCATCCCTTCCACCAAGAACACCAACTGTTTCCCAGTCACAATGGCCACCCCCCTCTATCCCCCGGAGCGCAGGAGCAGGATCAAGACCCTCCTAGACAAACTCCTCGGCCGAAACCCCAAATTCTTCAAGGTCATCAGGACCAGAAAGCTGAAATCCGCCAATGTACCCCACCCAGAGATGATGGAAGACGCATCCCACGACGCCGCCCTCCCAGACCCCTCCTTCACTACCTTTGCCAGCTCTTCTACCAACTACACTGCCCCTCCCAACAACCAAGGATGCCGTAGTCTCCTCTGCTTCACTAATCATCCCAACAGCAGCAACAGCACCACTTCATCGACCGGTGCCCGCACCTCTGCATTCTACGCCACTGGCCCATCACGTAGTTGTGCCGTGTTGGAAGGGACGCTAATCCCCACTGCTATCCAGCCCCAGACTTTCTTCCTGAGAGGTGTCCCCATACCGGAGAGCGCCAGTTCTGCTTCTTTCTCTCGTGACGATGATGATGTGAATGGACTCCCCGATGACAGGCGGACGCTTCCTAGTCAGAGGCGCCGCCAGCCGGGACTTGGACGGACGGGGAACATGAGGGATATGAGGCAGGCTTATCTTGATTCAGGTAGGTGAGCAAGGTTCTGTGAGGAGGTGAGTAAGTGAATTTGTAAGATTGGAGAGATGAGGCTGGTCCTTGCGAGATTCACCACCATGGCCAGACTGGGGTGACATGACATCGATAATACATAATTCTTTTTTTTTGGTCAATTGAACTAACTAACTTTCAGTGTGCTATTTCTGTGCAATTTTGTGTGTCGTGTTTTTGTGTTGTTGGAAGAAGTGAGGGAGCGCGTTGTTGCCCGCCCAGCAAAGTCGCAAAAACTCGACTGGCAAGCAGAAGCACGACTCCAAGAACCGCAACACTTAAGGATCACATGAAGCCCAGACCTACATCAAACAAAACAGATAGGAAAAGCTGATATCATGTAATATGAAGAAAAGAAGCAAAAAATGGCAAAAGCTCACCGGCCAACCCGTGGGGTGGCCGGCTACGAAAGCTGTTTCGGGGTCAAACAACTTTGCTTCGTAGGGGACTCGAACTGGGCCTGTCCGAATCCCCGGATTGGGTGGGCGGACAGCCAGCCCACTTGACCATTTGGCCGTCGGATAGTGGGCTGCTGTTGGAAGGTACAACTTGGAACTACTATAAGTACTGCCTGCTCTTGCTCATGAGGAAGGAACGAGTTTCAAGGGTGACTGTTTGTCAGCGGGAGCCTTCGCCGTGACTTGCTCTTGCCCCGACCAACCACCTGATCGTCTTTCTGCTTCCATGTCAAATTGAAATCGAGAGAAACAGTATTGGGCCTGACAGTCACCCAGCGGGCTGAAGTAAACTTTCATCCAAGATATTGTAGCATGGATGTTGGCTGTTAGCTACCGTAATAAAAGGTGAAACTTGGGGGATTTCTCCCAGTTGAAGGTTGACTTGCGCGGCCTCATCTTTGCAATCCCAGACTGACGGACAGACTCGCACACAAATTTGATGTGGTTACACATCTCCCGCAAGACAAAAAGACATTCTGAATTTCATGGAACACATGTGACCTGTTGATCAACGTCTTACATTACCCTCTTGGTATCTGGAGTCTTGCGGCAAAGTGCCACCCGGCTGGGAACCGCCTGACGACCTCGACAAAGTACGGGCGGGGCAGTTAAGAGACCAGGTCAAGAACAAAAAAAAATACTCTACATGACAGTTCTACAGTGGCCAATATCACGGTAAGCCCGACAAAAACTGTCCCTGGCGAAAAGCCGAAAGAATGTTGCATCAAAGCGACAGGCTACGACAGGCCCAGAGCCTCATCCACCACGCCGGGTCAGCCAAGCTGCAGCATTGACGAGATTCACGGAAATATGATCTAGAGTTTCTCGTCAAAGATTTTTGCTGGTGAATACTGGATGTGCATCACGGCAAACACCGATCAAAAGTGAGTGGGAGCAACTCCGGCCATGACCCCTGAACAATAAGCCGAGCCTTCCTAATCGGGACTTGAATAAACACTGAATAGGGGCTTGCCCCAGACACCCAAACTTCGGCATACTCGACAGACAAAAGAAAGCCCAGACACGCGACAAACATGTGGCCCGGTCACATCGTGTCTTTGATGATCTGTCTTGTCCTCGGGAAGCCATCGTAGAGTCTGCACCGGACTCGACGGCAAGGTCCATGAGCTGCGAATGAGTTTGCCTTCTTGCTTTTGATCGACTACAACATCTTTGTCGCGGATCGATCAATTCCTGGATTCTAGACAGCGCGTTGCCTATTCGGGGTCTGAATAGTTCATTGACATCCACCGGCATCCTCCAAAGTCTGGGCCACGGCAACAATAAACTCTTCCGTCTGAACGGAACATGTCTTTTGTCGAATGCTCCTGGGGATGTCCGATATGACCTGCTTATTCTTTGAACCTGTGCTATGGATAGCAACTGCTGAAGTGCCTCCACCACCTTCAGTGCTCACTCAATAGAGCCCTATTGACACAATAAACACCAGCCCCTGAATAGGGGCGCTTTCGGATATAAAAGGCCTCGTCCATCACCACCATCTCTCTCCCTTTCCTTTCCTTTCCTTTCCTTTCCTCCTCATCCCGCTCAAGTCAGTCTTTGAATACTTCAGCTTCTTCACAACCCCTTTTTTTTAAAAAAAAAACAAAAAACTTCCCAACCAAAAACCACCAAAATGAAGTTTTCCACCCCCCTCGCTCTCCTCGCCGTCGCTGCCGTCGACGCCGCTGTTGTCCAGGAGGACAAGCGCTGGTGCAACACCGAGGGCCAGGCCTGCAACACCGTTGCCCGCGCCGCCGAGGCTTTCACCAACGCCATCAAGGCCTCCGGCGTCGTTGCCCGTGACGACTCCGCCGCCGCTCAGGTCGCCGCCCGCCAGGTCGACCAGCTCGCCCTCGCCATCTCCGCCTCCCAGGCCGACCCCATCACCTTCTACACCGCCCTCGGCCTCGGTGACCAGTTCACCCTCGAGGAGAAGCCCCACGCCGAGAAGCGCGAGGCCGCCCCCCAGTGGTGCCTCCGCTTCGTCGGCCAGTCCTGCTGGAAGCGCAACGCCGCCCCCGAGGACGTCAAGCGGTGCACCGCCGAGGACGGCGCCTGCACCAAGGCCAAGCGCGCCGCCGAGGCCGTCATCAACGCCATCGAGGCTTCCGCCGACAACCTCGCCAAGCGTGAGGCCGCCCCCCAGTGGTGCCTCCGTTTCGTCGGCCAGTCCTGCTGGAAGCGCAACGCCGCCCCCGAGGCTGCCTGCAACGCCCCCGACGGCGCCTGCACCAAGGCCACCCGCGACATCCACGCCATGTACAACGCTGCCCGCCACATCATCGATGCCTCCGCTTAAGCGGCTCGTTGGTCAACTCGGCAACAGCAAGAGTGACGCTCTTCTCCTTCTTTGTATATGGTTGGCGACATAGAAAACGACAGATCCCTTCTCAAGACAAGTCACCCCTCCACCCTCGCAACAACACGTTAGAAAACCGATGATATACATCCCTTTCTTCGACAAATACCCTTATTCACCTTCTTCGCGCGGGCACTGAACCCGACATCTGGCAAGTTCTTTACACTTGCATTTCCCAACATGAGCATCGCCTTCGTTTGCTTCAACCGGTTTCCCGAGAGTTGGAGTAGGGTCGGCAGTCCAACACTTTTTAGTATCGCGGGGTGGACATCTGTCAACTTTTTCATAGTTACATAACAAACAAATACATATTTATTCTGGCGTTGGGCCGGCAAAAAACCATTTGTTCTCTATGCCTTGACGTGAAGTGTGACCTGTGCCAATGTTAGCCCCTGAGACCTGAGCATGATCATCCAGACCTTGTTCTCTCCAATGCACATTCACCCAACAACTACAGGCTCAAGTTTGTTCAAAAATGTTGAAATTCCCGCTTGCTTTGCTTTTGGCTCCTTTATACATGACAGCCCCATCCATCCCCACCCCTGGACATCATCATCACAATTACATCAACAACCTCCAAGCACCCAACATCAACGCCGCAAACCCCGTGCATACCCCCATCAACCACTGCAAAGTCTGAAACTTGACCTGCTCCAACTGCTGCCTCAACGCCGCAACCTCCTGCTCAATCTTCGTCTCCGTCTCCTTAATCTTCAACTCCTGACTCACCGCCTCCTCCCTTATCCTCCCCTTCTCCAAGTTCAAGTCCAGCCTCACGCTCGCCTGCGTGCGACCAATCTCGTCCCGCAGTCTCGAGCTCAGCTTGGCGATGTCATTCGTCAACCTCTCGTGCGCGGCCCGCGTGGTGTTGGACTCGGTCGAGTCGGCTGACAGGAGCTCCGAGCGGAGCTTGGCAAAGTCTACTTTTTGGGTGTAGGTTGTTTTGGCTGCTTCTTCGCGGGGGACCATGGTACGGGTGAGGTTTTGGATGCTGTAGACGGCACAAGGTTAACAACATGGGGTTGAAGAAGGGAAGGGGGACAGGGGGGGTACCTCTCTTCAATAACATCGTTCAGAACCTTCATCATGGCCACTGCTTGCTCCTCCGTGAAACCTTCTTCCTGCAGCCGCTGGACAAAGCGGAGGGTGTCAAAGTGGTGATCACGCTGGCGGGAGGGGGTCGTGGAAAAGGGGCGTCCCTGGTTCTGAGAGAAACATGGTGGGCTGGCGCGGAAGTGCGCGGTGAGACTGCGCTTTGGGATAGTAGTAGGTGTCCCTTTTGAGGAGCCGGAGGTGTGGTATGTTCTCTTGTGAGGTGGTTGTCGAGAAAGGGAGGCGTTGCTGCTGTCTCTGGCTTGCTGGAGCAGCGCGGCCGAAGCTCCGGTGATGCTGCCGCTTGGGCCGGTCCAGCTAAGCCGGGGGAGGAGGAAGCGCGGGAGGGATTGTGCGGCCGTCATGGTAGGTATTCCGTTAAAGCAGTAGTCGCTCAGGCATCTGTTCAAATATCAGGTTCGTAAGAAGCAGGCAATCCAGGGCGATGATCGTCTTTGGAGCTCCCAGACGCAGTCAGTCATTCCGGTTTCCGGGAAGCAGCGGCATCCAATGTCGCATGCCAAGCCAAGCCCCCTTTGCCCAACTTCCCACCATCCGTTCCATCCAAACCCGCTTTCAGCCACAACCCCCCCAAACCCACCAGCCACACTAGGCCCAAGCTCAGCCCCACCACCCAAATCCGCCCATAAAACCTCTCTTTGCCTTTCCAGATTTGATTTTTTTCCCTTTTACTTCTTCATATTGAACAACGCAAATTATCACATTCACACAGGACTAGTTACCTTATATGCGATTGAGAGGTTCGCTTTCTGCTATTCTTCGGGATGGCAATCGTCTGGACCCACGACCAGTTTGCATTCGTCTCTGGCTGTAAATGGAGAACAAACCACAAAAATGCTTGATCTTGGGTGCGGTTCTCTTCTTCCCGTGGAGAGGGGCGCAATGATTGAACATACATTTCTTTTGCTTTATATTTGGAGTGTTTTGATTTGATTTGCCTCTGTCCACTATTCGGTCTGTAAAAGAGGACTTGTGGGTGGTCGTTGTCTTGCAACTTTGCTTGCTCATCTGGATGGCAAGAAAACTCTGTAATCTGCGAAACTTCGCGACTCCTGCAAAAGTTGTCTGCTTCCAGCATGGGACCATTTGTGTGGTCCAGGTCGAATTTTGCAAAGGGGGGAATCTCAGAAAACTCTGTCAGTATGAGTATTTTGCATTTGGGTGAGTCCACAGAAACTCAAGCCTGTGGTGGAAGAGAGTTATAGTCACGACTGCATCAATGGTTGGTCAATGTCAATAATGAGAAACAAGTTGAGGTAATTACCAGGCTCGACACCAAGCACAAAGAGTTTATTCGTGGCATTAAATCTACTTTTTAGCCTTCACCTTCTCCTTCTTCTCCTTGGGCTTCGCCTTCTCCGTAGTCTTCTCCTCCGCCTTCTCGACCTTGGGTGTCTCCTTGGTCTTCTCCTTCTTGTCCTTCTTCTCCTTCTTCTCCGACTTGGCCTCGGCCTTCTCAGCCTTCTCCTTGGGCGCTTCCTTCTCCCTGGTCACTTCCTTCGTAGGCTCCTCCTCGGACGTCTCCTCCTTCATCCCCTTCTTCTCCTTCTTCTCTCCCTTCTTCAACGCCCTAGGATCCAGACCGCGTCTCCTCATGGCGTTGCGCTTCGCGCGCTCAATGTAGTCCGCATCCTGATCGTCATCGAAACCACCAAAGTCATCCTTCGCCTCCTCGCCAGCCTCCTCGGTAGCGATGGGGGTCTTGTCAATGACCATGGCATCATCGTCGACGTTGCGAGTGACAGCCTTGTCCTTCTTGCCGTTGGCAAGGACAGCATTTGGAGGCGTTGGGCCGATCTTCTGGAACTTGGCTACGAAGAAACCGTCGACGTTGTACAAGTGAGGATAGTAGCGGCGGGTCAGCTTGAGACTGGGGTGGAACTCCTTGCCCATGAAGCTAGTGAACCCTTCTTTACCGAATGGCAAGCCAGTCTGTACAAAACATTAGCATTGTAATCTGAAGTAATTCGAGTGGGACAGTCATACCTCGACTAATCTGACGTTGGGGCGGCGGCTCAAAGCATAGGCGACGACTTGTTCGCTAAAAGAAAGGGTCAGTAAAGGTTGTCGTAAGAGTTCCTCATCAAGACTTACTTTTCCTCAACAGCGACACTACAGGTAGAGTAGACCAGGTAGCCACCGGTCTTGCTGGCATGGTTGACCGAGTCGATCGCAGCCAGGATCAGCTGCTTTTGAAGATGTGGCAATTGCTGGAAGTCCTTCTCGTCTCTGTTGGTCTTGACTGACGGATCCTTGGCAATAACACCAGTACCCGAGCATGGGGCATCCAACAAGACTCTATCGAACCCGCCCATAACACGAGGGAACTCGCGGGCATCGTAATTGCAGACAATGGTATTTCTGACACCAAGACGGTGAATGTTACCAATCAAACCCTTGGCACGAGCCTTGCTGGGATCGTTGGCAAAGATAACACCAGTGTTCTTCATCAGCGCCGCCATATGCGTAGTTTTACCACCGGGTGCAGAGGCCATATCCAGGCAGCGCTCGTTCTCCTGTGGGCACAGGGCCATGACGGGGAGGAAAGAAGAGGCGGCTTGTAGGATGTAATGACCAGCGAGGTACTCGGGCGTAGCACCCAGAGGCACGTTGGAGTCGAAAACTTGCAGACCGACCTTGGACCACTTTCCAACTGGCTCCAAAGTAACACCGCGGTTGATCAAAGCCTGGGCGAGATCGCGACGATGGGTGCGAAGGGTGTTTGTGCGGATGACAACAGGACGGGCACTTTCGTTGGCTTCGAAGAAAGCAAACGCTTCTCTGGGGGGGAAGAGATTCATCAGCTTCTCCGCCAGGAACTCGTTGTAGCCATAGTAGGCGCAAACGTCCTTCAAGAGCTGGTTGGTGTACTCGGCTCTGTCCCGCCCCTCCTCAGCAAGCTCGCCGAAATCTTCAAGCACCCGAATTGTCTCTGTTATCCTGGTTCTCAACATCTGGAGATCGGGGGCCAACAAGCTCTTGGTCTTGGCGGCCAGGTCTTCGTCTTCGTCGTCGCTGTCGAGAACATGGGGCTTGTCGCCGTCGATGTTTGTTTGCATGGCATCTTCGCGCAACTCGGCTTCGTTTTCGGCCTCCTCTTCCTCCCTCTGTTGATCCAGTTTCCTCGACAGACCTTCGATATTGGCGGCAGTGAGCTTCTCCTCTCTTTCGTCATCATCCTCGTCTTCATCATCAGAGAAGACAAACTTCTCCTTCTTGCCTGCATCCTGATCCAGATCCGAATCGTAGACTGAGTCATCATCCGACCCAAGGAAGTCAGATCCCAACTTCAATTCCTCATCAGAACCAGCCTCATCCTCGAGGTCGGAGGCATCGAACTCATCATCCATCTCCTCGTCGGAATCTGATTGAGGCTCTGGGGCCTTCTTGCCCTTTGTCTTGGAGGCCTTCACGCCATTGCTGGGTGCGCTGGCTGTCTTCTTAGAGCCATTGGCCTGTCTCCCAGTTCCCTTTGTTCCTGTGGCGCTTTTGATCGCCTTCTCGGGCTTCTTGGATGCTGTGCGACGCTTCTTGCTTGAGTGTTCTTCGGCGGGGATGTCGTCGACTGGAATTCCCTTTTTGCGCTTCAAGTTGGCGAAGTGGGCTTCCGATAATGGCTCGGGAGGGCCCTGTTTCTTCATGCGACGGCCGACACCCATCTTGATTTAATGGCAGGTGCGATAGTGGGGGAGTGGTCTGTGATTGCTGAATGCGAAATGGTAGGCTTCCTGCAGAGGTTTCTCGCAGATATTTTGGCAACTTTTCTGTTATCGATAAGTAGTAACTTTTTTCCAGCTCTGAGCCACATCCAATCCCCTGCAATTCCCAGGGAACCCACATTGGGTGATCTGATTGGTGGAGACAGGTTGGTCTACGCTAGGCCGAATGCAGGATCCCTGCCTCCACACCTGGAGCCAAGAGCCGACGCTTTGCCTGGGAGACCTGGCCGGCAGCAGCAGCAAAGAGAAGGGGGCAAGCAGGAGGCAGTCGCGAGGAGCTCTTAACACATCACTCAAAAGTTGACCGACCCGCAAACCGCCTCTCTGTGGCACCTGCAGCAGCCTGCACAAAACAACACTCCATCCAGAGCGTCGCTTCCCTTTAGTTATTTCTTTGCACGTCAGGCACAAACGACTCTTCTGTCACCCTCCTTCCCGTGATTCTCCTTCTCTTTTTTTGATCAGCGAATTGCCTGTTGTTGCTCTTTCTAATTGAGCTTCTGCAGCTCCTGCTGATTTATTACGACTCCTCCCTCAATTCTCCGGCCTGCCGAGCTCCACCAATTCCCAAGCCCCTTTCAACGTCACTGCGTTTGGAGCGTTCAACTTCTTCCATCTGACGCCAGCAACTTTTGACAAGTTGGCTGCTAATTCTCCCTAAACTGCGCGCCCCCAAGCGCAAAACCGACTTCACCATGGCCGCGCCTAATCTACCCATCAAATTCCAGGAGCTGCTCCAGCTCAGCAGCCTGGGTGTTGGGCCAACTGCTATCACATTCAACACTTGCGTATGTCCCGCCGACATCTATCTGCCTGTGTCGCCTGACCGCCATGTGCTAACCCTCCCTCTCTCGCCCCATACAGACATTAGAATCAGACTCGTACATCTGCATCCGAGATAAGAAGGACGAAGCCTCTTCCCCCGAAGTCATCATCGTCGACCTCAAGAATGGCAACAATGTCATTCGCCGGCCCATCAAGGCCGACAGCGCCATCATGCACTGGACGCGTCAGGTCATCGCCCTCAAGGCCCAATCGCGAACACTGCAGATCTTCGACCTCGAGCAGAAGCAGAAGCTCAAGTCGACCCAGATGAGCGAGGACGTGGCCTTCTGGAAGTGGATCAGCGAGACCACGCTCGGCTTGGTGACAGAGACATCCGTCTATCATTGGGATGTTTTTGATCCGACCCAGGCGGCACCTGTCAAGGTGTTTGACCGCCACAGCAACCTCACAAATAACCAGATCATCAACTATCGGACGAGCGCTGATGGAAAGTGGATGGCCGTCGTTGGCATTTCGCAGCAACAAGGCCGCGTTGTTGGAGCCATGCAACTGTATTCGAAAGACCGCGGCATTACCCAGGCCATTGAAGGCCATGCCGCTGCCTTTGGCACTATTCGTCTCGACGGTGCCCCCGAGGACACCAAGCTGTTCACCTTCGCCGTGCGGACCGCCTCTGGAGCCAAACTTCACATCGTGGAAATTGACCACCCGGAAACGAATCCTGTCTTCCAGAAGAAGGCAGTTGATGTGTTCTTCCCGCCAGAGGCCGGCAGTGACTTCCCCGTTGCGCTTCAAGTGTCACAGAAGTATGGTATCATTTATTTGATCACCAAATACGGATTCATTCATCTCTACGACCTCGAAACTGCTACATGTATCTTCATGAACCGCATCTCGGGCGAGACCATCTTCACAGCTTGTGGCGACAGCAATTCGACTGGTGTCGTCGGTATCAATCGCAAGGGTCAGGTACTCTTCGTTAGCGCCGATGAAAACAAGATCGTACCCTATGTGTTGGAAAGCCACGGCACCGAGCTGGCCCTCAAGCTGGCGTCGCGTGCTGGTCTGCCCGGTGCTGACAACCTCTATCAGCAACGGTTCGAGCAGCTGTTCAGCAACGGAAGCTACCAGGAGGCTGCTAAGGTCGCCGCCAACTCGCCCCGTGGTTTCCTGCGGACACCCCAGACGATAGAGCGTTTCAAGCGGCTTCCGCAGCAGCCTGGCTCCATGTCGCACATCTTGCAATATTTCGGCATGCTTCTTGACAAGGGTGCTCTGAACCAGCACGAAACCCTTGAGCTTGCTCAACCCGTGCTTGCCCAGAACCGGAAACAGCTCCTGGCGAAGTGGCTGGAAGAGAACAAGCTCGAGTGCTCCGAGCAACTTGGTGACATGGTCCGCCCGCATGATATGCCCATGGCCCTCAGCATCTACCTGAAGGGCAATGTGCCCAACAAGGTTGTCGCTGGCTTTGCCGAGTTGGGACAGTTTGATAAGATTCTCCCCTACTGCACTCAGACTGGCTATCAACCAGACTTTATTCAACTTTTGCACCACATCGTCCGCGTGAACCCAGAGAAGGGTGCCGAGTTCGCGACAGCACTTGCCAACAATGAAGGGGGCTCGCTTGTTGACCTCGAGCGCGTCGTGGATATCTTCCAATCGCAGGGCATGGTGCAGCAGGCTACCGCTTTCCTTCTCGATGCTCTCAAGGACAACAAGCCTGAGCAAGGCCATCTCCAGACCCGCCTCTTGGAGATGAACCTTCTCAATGCCCCCCAGGTTGCTGATGCTATCCTCGGCAACGACATGTTCTCCCACTTCGACAAGGCGCAGATTGCCAAGTTGTGCGAGCAAGCAGGATTGTTCCAAAAGGCTCTGGAGCTCTACGAGGACCCCGCAGCCATCAAGCGTGTTGTCGTAGGCATTGCCGGGGCGCCAAACTTCAACCCCGAGTGGTTGATTGAGTACTTCGGTCGCCTTTCCGTCGAGCAATCCATTGACTGCCTCGATGCTATGTTGAAGCACAATATCCGCCAAAACCTCCAGTCCGTTGTGCAGATTGCCACCAAGTATGCCGAGCTTCTCGGGCCCCAGCGTCTTATTGACCTGCTTGAGAAGTACAAGACCGCCGAAGGTCTTTACTACTTCCTTGGTAGCATTGTCAACGTTACCGATGATTCTGAGGTTGTCTTCAAGTACATCGAGGCTGCTACCAAGACGGGTCAGATCCGCGAGGTTGAGCGCATTTGCCGTGACAACAGCGTCTACAACCCAGAGAAGGTCAAGAACTTCTTGAAGGAGGCCAAGCTCAGCGAGATGCTTCCACTCATGGTGGTGTGCGATCGTTTCAACTTTGTACACGACTTGGTCCTCTACTTGTACCAGCACCAGCAGTTCAAGTCCATCGAGGTGTATGTGCAGCAAGTCAACCCTTCGAGGACTCCCGGTGTTATTGGCGGCTTGTTGGATGTCGACTGCGATGAGAACATCATCAAGAACCTTCTCAGCACAGTCAACCCAGTATCTATCCCCATCGATGAGCTTGTCCAGGAGGTCGAGACCCGCAACCGTCTCAAGTTGCTTCTTCCCTTCCTCGAGGCGACCCTGGCTGCTGGCAATCAGCAGCAGGCAGTGTTCAACGCTTTGGCCAAGATTTACATCGACTCCAACAACAATCCTGAGAAGTTCCTCAAGGAGAACGACCAGTACGACACCCTCACTGTCGGAAAGTACTGCGAGAAGCGCGATCCCAACCTCGCCTACATTGCCTATAGCAAGGGCCTGAACGACCTTGAGCTCGTCAACATCACCAACGAGAACGCCATGTACAAGGCCCAGGCCAGGTACCTGCTTGAGCGTGGTGATAATGACCTCTGGATGTTCGTTCTCAGCGAGAACAACCTCCACCGCCGTTCCGTGGTCGACCAAGTCATCTCGACCGCTGTTCCCGAGTCGACGGATCCCGCCAAGGTTTCTCTTGCGGTTCAATGTTTCCTGAGCGCTGATCTTCCAGCTGAGCTCATTGAGCTGCTCGAGAAGATTGTCTTGGAGCCATCACCCTTCAGTGACAACCCGAACTTGCAGAATTTGCTCATGTTCACTGCTGCCAAGGCTGACAAGGCCCGCGTGATGGATTACATCCATCGTCTTGACAACTTCTCCGCGGATGAGATTTCTAATGTCTGCATTGAGGTTGGTCTGTTCGAGGAAGCCTTCGAGGTTTTCAAGAAGATCGACAACAAGGAGGCGGCTGTCAACGTACTCGTTGAGCATGTGGTTAGCATCGATCGTGCTCAGGCTTATGCCGAGGAGGTCGACATCCCTCAGGTTTGGAGCAGAGTCGCCAAGGCTCAGCTTGACGGTCTCCGTGTCAGCGACTCGATCGAGTCTTACATCAAGGCGGAGGACCCCAAGAACTACGAGGAAGTTATTGAGATCGCTGTGGCTGCTGGCAAGAATGAGGAGCTCATCAAGTATCTGCGCATGGCCCGCAAGACCCTTCGCGAGTCTGCCATTGATACTGCTCTTGCCTTTTGCTATGCTCGCCTTGATCAACTTGCCGAGCTCGAGGACTTCCTGCGGGCTACTAATGTCGCCAACATTGAAGAATCCGGAGACAAGGCTTACGCCGAGGGCTTCTTCGAGGCGGCCAAGATCTTCTATACCAGCATTTCCAACTGGGCGAAGTTGGCTACCACATTGGTACATCTTGAGGATTACCAAGCTGCTGTTGACTGCGCGCGCAAGGCCAACAACATCAAGGTCTGGAGAGAAGTCCATGAGGCTTGCGTTGGCAAGAAGGAGTTCCGTCTGGCCCAGATCTGCGGTCTCAACCTTATCGTTGATGCTGAGCAGCTTCAGGCTTTGGTTAAGCAGTATGAGCGTGAGGGCTACTTTGACGAGCTCATCAGTCTTCTTGAGCAAGGTCTTGGCTTGGAGCGTGCCCACATGGGTATGTTCACCGAGCTTGGCATTGCCCTTTCCAAGTACCACCCTGAGCGGTTGATGGAGCACCTCAAGCTCTTCTGGAGCAGAATGAACCTGCCCAAGATGATCCGTGCTTGCGAGGAGGCCAACCTCTGGCCTGAGCTGGTCTTCTGCTACTACCACTATGATGAATTCGACAACGCTGCTCTTGCGGTTATGGAGCGGCCGGAAAACTCCTGGGAGCACCAGCAGTTCAAGGAGATCACCGTCAAGGTTGCCAACCTTGAGATCTACTACAAGGCCATCAACTTTTACCTTGAGCAGCATCCTTCGCTCCTTACCGACCTTCTCCAGGTCCTCACTCCTCGCATCGATGTCAACCGTGTTGTCCGCATGTTCCAGAAGTCCGACAACTTGCCTCTGATCAAGCCATTCTTGCTCAGCGTTCAGTCGCAGAACAAGCGCACTGTTAACGATGCCATCAACGATCTTCTGATCGAGGAGGAGGACTACAAGACTCTCCGCGACTCTGTCGAGAACTACGACAACTATGACGCTGTCGAGCTCGCCGGTCGCCTCGAGAAGCACGATCTCGTCTTCTTCCGCCAAATTGCCGCTAACATCTACCGCAAGAATAAGCGCTGGGAGAAGTCGATCAACCTGTCCAAGCAGGACAAGTTGTGGAAGGATGCCATTGAGACTGCTGCCATCTCTGGCAAGACCGATGTTGTTGAGGAGCTTCTCCGTTATGTATGTTTCCCTTTTGATTCATGCTTGTATTTTGATTGTAACATGTGCTAACAAGCCCGCCTTAGTTCGTCGACATTGGCAACAGGGAGTGCTACGTCGGCATGCTTTATGCCTGCTACGACCTCATCCGCCCCGATCTTATCCTGGAGCTCTCTTGGCGCAACGGCCTCCATGACTTCACTATGCCGTACATGATCAACCTCCTCTGCCAGCAAACCAAGGAGTTGGCCGCCCTCAAGGCTGACAACGAGGCTCGCAAGGCCAAGGAGGCTGCCGAGAAGACCGAGGATGACAACACCCCCATCCTGGGCATGAACCGCCTCATGATCACCGCTGGTCCCGCTCAAGGCCGGGCCTCTCCCGCGTCTTTTGGCGGACAAACCAACGGATTTGCGCCCCAACCTACCGGTTTCGGATTCTAGAGGGTTGCACCGGTGGTATTTGAGTGCCCTTGCGTTTACGATCCCTACACGGGACGTTGGTTTTACCCTTATCAGCAGCAGTATTCCATGATGCCAGGCGAACCGGTGTATGTGGAAGAGCTTGGTCGGGTTTCCAAAAGGTTTCTTCAATCGCACAAGCTTCTTTGTTAGGGAGGCCAGGAGGAGAGGGTATCTCAAAAGTAAAAGGATTTCTTTACTTTTTTCTAGGGCATGATGGATGGAATTGAAGGCTGGGGCATGCAGGAGGCTGTTTTTTTGAAATGTTGCTACCATAAATGTTAGTGTATGATATATTTGCCCTTGGGGCTTTTTCAAGTTTTTATTGGTGTTGCTTTTGCTTTTTTCCGTGGTGTCTTTCGAAAATGATGATGTGATGTTGTGCATATATGGTTGAAAACATATTGCTATTTGGCCTAGGGTTCTTGAATGTGCCATTGAGCCTGTGTAAGTTCCTAAGAGAAAGTCTTTGCAAAGTCTAGAGAGAAGAAGTTTCCAAGAAGTGTACAGAAAGTCGAGGAGAAGCTATGAGAAGCCTATAAGAAGTCTATAAGTCTGTCTATAAGAAGTCTATAAGAAGTTTATAAAAAGATAAGAAGTTATAAGTAAGGGAGAATAAACCTATAGTATAAGTTTCAGTCGCCGGTACTATTACAGAGTAAGACTGGCCATCCCTAAGAATGTTGGGCATATCGCGATAAAACAGCGCAGTATCCCAAAGGCAAGGGCTTGGGGTTGGGCATCTGATATTATCTTCACTTGTGGACCATCTTGAAGACGATAGGACAAGAATATCACACATTCACATAGACTCAAGCCTTTATTGAACTGTTATTTAATTCCTACTTGTATGTGTGTGCGTGCTCGGATATAACCAGTTGTGCTTGACAGAAGAACAAGGGACCTATCCCGATACCTTTCCACGCCTGCTGCTCCAGAATCATGGGAACCCCTCCGTTACGAGAAAAGAAAAACAAGGATAATCCCAGATATCCACGGCTCCCTTAGCTTCACCATAGCCCCCCCTCACACGAATTGCTCGGCTCGTTTGAGCGAGCGGGCGTGTCTTGAGGTGTGAGCAACGAAGCAGAGGGATTAACTCGGTTTCTAGTGTGCTGCTAAACGAATCACGTCGCTCATTTCTTGTCGCCCCTGGTGATGCGGCACACCAGGTCGGAGCCGTCGACTGAGTCGCCTTCTCTCACTTGCAGAGAGGAGACTACACCATTGTGAGGAGCGGAGATAACCATTTCCTAGAAAGATTAGTTAGCAAGTTGAGTTCAAGTGCGGAAATTCAGAGGGTATATCCTACCATCTTCATGGCGCTCAGGACAGCAAGGGGATCGCCCTTCTTGACCTCAGAGCCCTCGTGGACGCGGAGCTCAACGAGCACACCGGCCATGGGGGCACCGACCTGGCTCGAATCGCCAGGGTCGGCCTTGGGTCGGCTCACGTTCTCCACCGACGCCTGCTTGTCGTCGACAGTGACTTGGCGAACCTCGCCGTTCATTTCGTAGAACACCTCGCGCTGGCCAGTGTTCTCGGAGAGCGGGCCGACGGCCAGCAACTTGAGGATCAACACCTTACCCTTCTCGAGCTCAACGTGGAACTCCTCGCCAATCTCAGGCTTGCTGAGGAAGTACTTGGTAGGCAAGACGCTGAGGTCTCCGTACTTAGCGATGAAGGCCTTGTAGTCGGCGAACACCTTGGGGTACATGATGTGACTGGCCACGTCGCACTCGGTAACGCTGCCGTACTTGCGCGACAGCTCCTTCCTGACCTTGGCAAAGTCGATGGGCTCGAGGAAGAGACCAGGGCGCTTGTCGAGCTTGCGGCGACCACGGAGAGCCTTGGTGCGGAATGGCTCGGGGAAACCACCGTACGGCTGGCCCATCATACCCTCGAGGAACTCGAGAACGGAGCCAGGGAAGTCGAGCTCGCCAGCACGCTCAATGACATCCTTGGGGCTGAGCTTGTTGGACACCATGAACTGGGCCAAGTCACCAACAACCTTGGAGGTAGGAGTGACCTTGACGATGTCGCCGAGGAGTTCGTTGGCTTGCTCGTAAGCCTTCTTGGTCTCCAACCACTGGGAGCCAAGACCAAGCTGAGAGGCCTGGAACATCATGTTGGTGAGCTGACCGCCAGGAATCTCGTGCTCGTACACCTCAGGATCGGGACCCGCAAGATGAGCCTCGAAGGGCGAGTAGAGGAGGCGAAGCTGAGACCAGTAGGTATCAAGCGCACGAACGTGAGCAGGGTTGAGACCGGGCTGCTTATCGGTACCATCAAGCGACGCAATGATGGCGTTGATGCTGGGCTGCGAGGTCATACCAGACAAGCTGTCAGTGGCAGCGTCAACAGCATCGGCGCCGGCCATGGCGCAGGCAACCATGGAAGCCACACCAGTACCCGCGGAGTCGTGGGTGTGGACGTGGATGGGGAGGTCAGGGTACTTCTTGCGGATGGTACCGATGAGGATGGTGGCAGCATGGGGCTTGAGAACACCGGCCATGTCCTTGATGCCAAGAACATCAATGTCGAGAGCAACAAGCTTGTCAACAAGGTCAATGTAGTAATCCAAGGAGTACTTCTTCTTGGGGTTGAGCATGTCACCGCTGTAGCAGACGGTACCCTCGCAGACACCACCAGCCTTTTGCACGGCCTTGATACCAACCTCGAGCTGGTTGATGTCGTTGAGAGCATCGAAGACACGGAAGATGTCGACACCGTTGTCCTTGGCCTGCTTGACGAAGTGGTCGATGGCATTGTCAGGGAGCGAGGCATAAGCAACGCCGTTGGCGCCACGGAGCAACATCTGGAAGGGGATGTTGGGGATCAACTTGCGCATCTTGCGGAGGCGGTCCCAAGGGTCCTCGTACAAGAAGCGGAAAGCGACATCGAAGGTGGCGCCACCCCAGCATTCCAGAGCGTACAAGTTGGAGAGCGCATGGCTGGTCTCCTTGGCAATGTTGAGAAGGTCGACTGTGCGGACACGGGTCGCCAGGAGAGACTGATGGGCATCACGCCAGGTGGTATCCATGAGCAAGCAGCCCTTGTAGTTGCGAACAGCCTTGGCGAAAGCCTTGGGGCCTTGTTCGACGATGATGTTGCGCCAGCCCTTTTGCGAAGGCGAAGACACATCGAGCTTCTTGCCAGCATCGTCCAAGAGCTCGGGGATGATGATGTCGCCCTTGAACTTGGGCTCACCGATTTGACCCTTGATGCTGCTACCGTTGACGGCGAGGTCACCAAGATAGGCCAGAAGCTTCTGGGCGCGGTTCTGACTGCCAACGAGGTCAAACAGGGACGGGGTATCATCAATAAAGGTCGTCCAGCAGTTGCCATCAATAAATGTTGGGTGGGTCAGGAGAGAGGCCAGGAAGGGGATGTTGGTCTTGACGCCGCGAATGCGGAACTCGATAAGAGCGCGAAGAACCTTGCGGCGGGCAATTTCGTACGTTGAGCCGTGGCACGACACCTTGACAAGCATGCTGTCGTAGTAGGGGGTAATGACGGCGCCAGCAAAGCCGTTGCCACCATCGAGACGCACACCGTTACCGCCAGCGGAGCGGTACACCTCGATCTTGCCAGTGTCGGGCTGGAAGTTCTTGGCCGGATCCTCGGTCGTGATACGACACTGGATGGCGAAGCCGCGAGTAGAGATGCGGTCTTGGGTAAGGCCGAGCTGCTCCAGGGTAGCGCCAGCGGCGATCTGGATCTGAGCGGCAACGATATCGATACCGGTGATTTCCTCAGTGATGGTATGTTCGACCTGGATACGGGGGTTGATCTCGATAAAGTAGTAGCGGTTCTGCTGGTCAACCAGGAACTCGGCGGTACCAGCGTTGCGGTAGTTGACAGACTTGGCGAGTCTGACAGCATCGTTCAGGATAGCATCGCGAACGCTGGCGGGAAGATCCTTGGCCGGAGCGATTTCGACGACCTTTTGGTGTCTGCGCTGCACGGAGCAGTCACGCTCGTACAAGTGGACAATGTTGCCATGGTTGTCACCGAGGAGCTGAACCTCAATGTGCTTGGGCTTGTCGAGGAAACGCTCAACGAAGACGGTGCCGTTCCCGAAGGCGCTCTTCGCCTCGGAGGTGGCTCTCTCGAAGGACTCCTTGAGGGAAGCCTCCTCACGCACAACACGCATACCACGACCACCACCGCCATAAGCAGCCTTGATGATGATGGGGAAGCCATACTTGTCCGTGAAAGCCTTGACTTCCTCAAACTTCTCGACGGCGCCCTCGGTGCCTGGGACGACTGGTACGTTCGCAGCAATGGCAATCTTTCTGGCTGAGACCTTGTCGCCAAGGGCATCGATGACGTCGGGAGAGGGACCGATGAACTGAGAAAAGGGCGGGTATCAGCGGACAAAAATTCCCTCCTCAGATGGTTGAGTGGATACCTACGATAAGACCGGCAGCCTCAACCTTGCGAGCGAACTCGGCATTTTCAGACAAGAAACCATAACCTGTGATAACGGTAAGCCTGAATGTCACTCATGAAATCTCTCTGGAGGACCTACCAGGGTGAATCATCTGAGCACCGTGCTCAACGGCGATCTTGACGATTTCATCGCTGGCAAGGTAGGCGCCAACAGGTGTGTACTGTCCACGCTTGCCAATGACATAAGCCTCATCGGCCTCTGTGGTGTATTTGTTAGTCTGTGTTGACAGGTGCAAAAAACAGCAAGCAGGGTTAGCCTAGGACTGTCAAGAGGCACATACTCTGTCTGTGCATAGAAAGGCGATCCTCATAACTGTAGAAAATCAGCAGCTGTTCATATCATCTGAGAGTGGTGTCTTCTGGAAGTCTTACCTGAAGATGGCAATAGTGTGAAGTGAAAGTTCGTGGGCCTAGAGCAAGCGTTGTCAGAACCAGCTTCTTCGACCCTGGAGAAAAGGGTGGCGTGACCTACCGTTCTAAAGATCTGTAAAGCGCAAGATAATCAGTGAGCAAGCTTGTCATTCCAATTCGAATTCCTCATCGTAGTCCTGAAAAGAAAGGGCGGTTTCTGGGCTCGGACATGGATCGTTACATACACGAATAGCTATCACATGTCAGCATGGAATTCATGTGTCACGTCACGATGGCCGGCCGTCCTCCGGAGGACCGCCAGTGGGAGAGCATCACTTACGAATTTCACCTCTGTTGGCAACTGTAGTTGACACAATAGACGTTAGCTTTTCCCAATGCAAGAAGGACATGGTCTGAGGGGCTTGCTGCAGCTCCTCAAGCCAAAACTAACCCAAGATCTTGTTCAACTGCATAATAGTAGAGTTGGCACGGATGCGATGCACCGTCTGGGCCTCCTTAGGGACATCCCCCTCCTCGAAGACATCCTCATACTTCTTGTCGTTGTCGGCGGCCATGGTGAATCGATTGGCGTGCAAGGACGACGGTCAATTGCAGAAGGAAAGGGGGAAAAAGGGGGGGGGGGGGAAGAAGTAGGAGAACAGAGGATTCAGAGCCAGCAGGGAGGGATGCCCGCGCCGCTGCAAGGCCGGGTATGACGCCGACAGCGGGGTAGATGTGATGGTGGGGTAGGTGTGTGGGCAGCCCCGCGGCCAGGTAGGGGTCAAGGGTACTAGAGATGCTTGGGTGGGCTAGAAGCTCTGAAGCTCCGGTTAAACCTTAGCTTGATTTGACGACGACACAAGCTGTGTTTTACCGCTGTCACGCTTTCCCGAAGAGGCAAGGCAAGACAAAGGTCGAGATGGAGATAAGGATTCTTCGGCGTACGCAGAACTGTAAAGCCGGAGGTGACGTTGTAGGGAGCGAGGATGAAAGTGATAACATCGACACAAAGGAGAAGGACGTGGAAAAGAGGGGAATTTAAAATCAGAATGGGATGATTGTTGAGCTATGTTGTGGCAACTGCAGGCCAACTGGTTGTGCCAGGGGGAAGCGACGATTTTGGATATGAGGGGATTTCTGTCTTGCCAGGAACAGCCCAGAAATGCTGAATGGAGCGAAACAGCCTCACCTCGGTCCTCACGGCTCTCTCTCTGTGACCGGCCAACAAGTCTTCTCAACTGTGCTTTGCCAAGAAAGGTTTAAGGCGGTGATTCACACATCAGACTGAGAGGGTGACGGCTCAACAATTTGATCAAGTCGAGGCCGAGTGATCCGCGTGGGTGAGGAGGAGGAGGGTGACTCTTCTTCTCTCTCGTGCGCTTTCCGCCGGCTCTAGTCCACTCAGCTGTTACTTGACGTTGGCTGACGAGGTATATAATATCCTGACAAGCCGCAGGTTGGCAACTGATTGATGGTGCTGGTTGCTTGTGTGCATACGTGGGAGGCGTTCGCCGTTCATCAGCTTGGCCCAAACGGGTTGGGAAGCTGTCGGTCCCATGGCTCTGCCGCCTGTTATCGAGCAATCATTGATCAATCAGTAGTGTATGCAGGAAGCACAAAACCCGATCTCCAATGGCTTTTCCGTCATCTTGGCACTGGGTCTTGGAGGGTGATGGGAATGTTTGTTGAACGTTGCGTTCGCGGAGCTTGCAGCCTTGTATGACAAGCATCTTGAGATCAGAGTTGGCCAATCAGATGTCTGCCATGAAGAAGACCTTGCCGAGTTTGTCGCTGGTGCAGGGGTGAGGGGAACGTCCCTTTCTGCAGCCGTCACTGAAAAAAAAATTATCCCACTTTGCGAAGAGACTCCGAGATGCTAAAACAGTGGTAGGGTGGGGTTGCTGCCACCACCGCTCAGAGCTGACATGGCCGCCGTGGGGAATCTTGACGACTGGTTACTATGACCAGATATGGCGGCTAGACACACAGTACTCCGCCCTAACATTGTCGGGGTTGTAGCGGGATGAAGATTCTCAGCAGGGTTAGCCGTGGCCTCCAGCGAGCTTAACCGATGTATACACTGACACTAAGAGACATTGTTCTTGAAACCGATTGCCTCACAGAATTCACCTGACGCATGTTGTGAGACAACCCTCTGCCTCCCACCTGGGGAAGATGGGGGTGCATTTGTTTGACCAACCAAAAGATACTTGATCTAATAAGTATTTTTGCTAATGACCAGAACCCCCAACTGAACTCCCGCCCAGGCTTAGCTTGACTGGGTTTTTCTAATCGCCGCAAAAGCCGTTAATAAACCAACCTAGGTAACTAACTTCAACACACCATCCAAAAAGAGCCGGCACAGCACCTTGATATTCCTCCGTAGCCGAAGGCCGGGAAGAGAATCAAGTTGATCATGTGCTCCTCATCTCATCCCAGACCGTCCTCCGACTTTGACAGCAGATGGCTTCTAACCGGCTACTTCCACCCCCGGTTTTTCGTCGAGCCGAGGGTAAAGCTCTATCAGTCTGCAAAAAGAGGATCCTGCCGAACTTCAACTACTTGACGTGCCCGAGATGTCGGGACTTGACACACTAGCTAGCAGCGGAACCCCAGGATTGACACCGTACCTTTTCTTGTTTTGCGGAGACTTGTCAGATGAAAGACCCGGAGACAGTTGTGCTTCGAAAGGTACCTAGGCAGATTGCCCACCCCCGCCCCGTTCATGAGTACCGTGAACCGAACCGTTCCCGGGGTCTAGGCACCAATTTTCTGGGGAAGCTGGCGTTTTCCCTGCATCATCCATGAAGGTCACCCGATGGAAAAGATGAGTGAGGTAGCGTTGTAAACACCCTGGTGAACTTGGAAAACAGAAGCATAATGGCGGTGGGTGGCGCTTGCCTCAGCAATAGAGCCCCCGGGGACTCCGAAGGCCACATTGTACCACTTACAAGATCTCTCATAGGTATTCAAGAGCCGACTGATGCCAAGATTGATTCTGTGTTTCTCAATATCGACCACATATCACGGCAGCTGTCGTGTCGGTTGATCATCAACGTTGTTGTATCCCAGTTTCATCTTTACTCTTACTCTGCGTCATGGCCATCTACTCGTTTGAGCTGGTCACGAGATCAAGATTTCTGAACCATTGAATGGGATTTAAACCCTTCTCGACTCGCAGAGGAATGACAAGCTGCCGTTTGTCACAGTTATGGAGTCCTCCCTGTGTCGGTTAAGCTCTGCGGAAGCATATCAAAGGTACGTGCTGTGGGGTTACTGAGTCGCTCCGTGGACTTCACAGTCCCAATAAATGCCATGATTGTTTTGCAAGATATATTGTACCGACTTTATCTACAAAAATATTCCACGCTTCCCCTAGTTGGTGTAGCTCAGTGTTCAAGGCTACGACGGTACACCGCATGAGGGTCCATCGTCTTACGGGAACGCATGATGCGTCAGGTGAGCAACTCACGGTTGCATAATGAGGAGAACAAATAAGAAAAAAGAAAGGAAAGAGACAACCACCAGCCCTTTTACCCCTCCTTTTTCCAACATCTCGAACCTCAACCTCACACCCCCACGGTCGATCTGCCAGGGTGTGTTTTTGACCTTTCTGCAACAGATCTCCTGCCAAGGAAAATGCAACCGCCGGCGCCGGAGTTGCAAGATGCGGCCCTGCGTGGCCGGGTCATCTTGGCATCTCGATCTTGACCTCTCTCCACCAAACATCCAACAACACGCCGTGGTTGCCGAATACTTTGTCTCGGCCGAATTCTGTCTTTTGGCACCACCACATGAAAAAAAAAAAAAATAGTTCGTCCGTAGGCTAAGTCAACTCGGCTGCCAAGGAGGGTTGTGAACCGCATGTGTTCGAGAAGGAAACCTGGCCAAGAGTCCGGTGGAACAGCTTTGCCTATCTTGCGTCTTCGTATGCAACCCAGATTCCATCTTGAACGAATCTCAACAGCTCAGCCGGATCTTTGACTGGCAACACAACAGTCAAGAGGGTGTACTGGCTATCCGAAAGACACAAACAGCACATCCGAGCCTTCCATAACGCCATCTTCAACCCTCGTAGATAGGTAACCAACGCATCAAGCTTTTCGTCTTGGGGAGTGCATCCCACCTCCCTCAACACCACAGGCAAGCATGCCGTGGCCCCTGGTAAGAATGCAGCAGGGGAATGGACACCATCAATCTATCAACACCAACCCAGTAACCAACCTCACGGTAAAGTAACACCACAGATGAAGCGGGGTAGTAGCAGATTTAAAACCCGCAACCGCCTCACTCTTCCCCAGATAGACCTTCGCTCGTGGTAATTATGCCCGAGATGGAATGGGACCGCATGTAGGATGATTGCCTTGCAACTGGAGGTGTACACGCACCAACGCTGTGGCATGCTTGCGGAACCTCTTCCGAGGAGAGGCAAGTCTGAAAGTGTCATCTCATCCTTCTCCCGATGTCAATAGTGAGCAACTGTCGGAGCTCCCGCGTAACCCCGAGTCGTAGGCACCAACCCCCAACATAAGGTATAACCAACTGCTTTCCAAAACCCCTGATATACGATCAGGGACTCTTATCCCCGTGTGGTTCCCATACGCCCCCCCAGCTTGCCCAAGCCACTGCGAAACCAACCATAGCACCTCAGCCTCGGACATCAACCCAGTAAAGAATCCCATTCTCGTCTAGAAGACCACAGGTCAACACAGCTAAATAGTACAACAGCAACCAAACCACATACACAAGCCCATTCTTACATCACCACCCCCTACCCCCCTCCCACCTCCCTCAACAGCACCACAAAGCAAATGAAAAATGACCAAACTCATATCATTCATACACCCCCAGTTTCTCGCTTTTCATTTCCCTGTTCCCATCCCCCCATAGGTACCCCCCTATGTTCTGTATGTTGTTTCGTCCATCCCCTATTCCCATTCTCAACCCTCCTTCCCATTACACCCCCCATTCAACCTCCCAAGCCAGGTGGTCTACCGGGCAGCAGGCGTAGCAGCAGCAGCCTCAACCGGCTTCCCCTCCAGCGCCCCCTTCTTCAAAGCCTCCTCCTTTCCCCCCCACTTGTGCCACTGCAAATACCTATACCCCTGCGTCAACTGCGCAGCCTCATTGACAGCATGGCACGCAAACAAGAGGTAATTTGCGGGGGTGACAGCGAGGGAGAAGCGCATAAACGTCGCGGAATAAACGCAGAGAGCGCCCGTCATGGGGCCCGAGATCCTGTTGCACCACCACCACCATTGTCAGCTTTTGTTTCTGTTCACACCACGACAAGGAAGGGGGTAACCTACAGTTCAGGGCTCTTCTGCGTATCCATCACCGCAGCAAGGGGGATGCCAAAGTTGGAGACGGGGCCCCAGAAGTCTATTCCATCATGAATGTTAGCAACGTGGTCACGTGCCTGTTGTCCCTCAATCTCTCTCTCTCTCTCTCTCCTGATCCAACGCTCCCAACAACCCTCAACACCTCCCCCCAGCTCCCAAATCTCCCAATCCCCCCTTCCAACCCTCCTCCCCTCAACACCTGACCTTCCCTCCCTTCCCGGCCGGAATCGGCCCTCCCTCACCAACAAACCCTCCCAACTCCCGGCCGAGATCCCAAAAACTAAAACCAAAGAACTTACGCGTAGAGCAAACATAATCCAGCACCGGGTGAGCCCGAATCTTAGCATTGATCGCCTTGACAAAAGCAGCCATCTTTTCTTTTCCGTTCTGTCTGTCTGTCAGTCGTCGGTGTTGTCGGTGGAGTGGCTAATAATGTCGGAGGGATCGGAGAGTCGCAACAACTAGTCCTGGAAATAATTCTTGGGGATGCTCCGGGGACCGCTGCTGCAGCGCTGGCACAGGTCCGGTCCGCCCGCTGTAACAACACTGAAAAAATAGCGGGCAATCCAATTCGCAGTCATCAAATGGGGTCCGTGCACCCCTTTTTTGCGTCACCGGACATTGATGACAACAAAACCATGAGCTGTCATTGTAAAAGTCAAGGTTGCCAATTGGTTGAATTTGGGGGCGTTTACTACATCTATTATTCACAAGTGAGATATCTGCAACAGTAGAATAGACAGTTGGCACCTAATCGTTGTGAATTTGTTGTTGAAGCTCGCTCTCGAGCTTCTGTATGGGGTGTCCAAGGGTTGTGCGACACCAACATCCATCCATATTCACGACCGCATATGTACATAGTCCCCAAAGGCAACAGCAATATCCTCTGTTCTGTCACCATCCACGCCGCCCAAACTCCTCGGACTTCTCATTCCTCTTCTCTTTGTCCCGTTTGCCTGTCTTGCATACTCTGCTCGCCCCTTATTCTCAAGAACACAATTCGCTGATTTCCGGCCCTTTGTAATGTTTCATCAAGAAATCCCCAAACGCCGCCAAAAGAAAACAGTAAAACCTTCAAGCTTTCCAGGCAGAAATCTAGCTTTTCGTCGGCCAAGTGAAGATCCACCCCCATCACATACAAGTTCGCAGCCATTCGTCGTATTTGATGTCGTCATATGTTGTGTGGCGGGGCATCTCAGTAAGTAGTGTTGGGTCGGCCACCAAACGTAATCATTAACGGCGAGGAGGAGGGTTAAAGCCAGAAGGAGGGCCACCGCCGGGAGGGAATCCAGGGGGGAAGCCACCGGGCGCGCCGGGAAAGCCAGCAGGAGGGAATCCACCTCCAAATCCTGGTGGAGGGGCTATAACTTCGTTAGTGAAGGTGTCAACAGCAAGGCTTGGAGAAGATCAGCTTACGAGCACCACGGCCAGGGGCGCCAGGAAAACCGGGAGCACCGGGGAAGCCTGGGAAAGCTGGGGGAGGGACGGCGCCGCCAATACCAGCAGCAGGGCCGGCAAGAGAGATGGGAGCAGCGGCGCCGCGGCCAGCCGGTCTTGCGACACCAGGTCCCGCTGCGAGCGCAGAGGCAACACTGGGACCGCCAGTCTTGCCCAAACGAGCGCTTGGGTCAGCCGGCGGCGGCGATTCGACGGAAAGGGATACAATGTGGGCGCCTCGAACGATCGTCAGACCCAGTGTCCGCTTCTCCTCCTGCTCGATGGTCTGCGCGCCGGATGATGATGCGCCGGGGGCGGAGGGCTTGTTTTGCTTCCTTTTGATCCGGCGGAACTCTTCGGTATCGGCGAGCACAAGGTTCATGTGCTTATCGAAAGCGAGCATCTAAGATGATTCGAGTCAGTGGCAAGAAAGTGCTAAGAGGTGGTAGGAGATGCGTACCTGACCCGTCATCTGGCGGCCATCATTCAGCGTTACGCGCATCCGGTAGTTGATCTAATCAAACGTTAGTTCTGCCTCGCCGTGTGCTATCGTCACTGGGGAGGTATACATACGTAACCGGCCTAGATATCATGCGCCTTGTCAGTGGTCAATGTCAACAAACAGATGCCTGTAAGAGCGGTCGCGCGGAGGGGAGGACGGATGCCTGAACTTACCATCTTGCCCTGCTTGTTAGAGGCCGACATGGTTGCGGCGTTGTTGCCACTGCAAAGTAGCTTCTGGTTTCAAAAATTGGGGTTTGGGTTGACGAAGTTCTGGTAACTATCGTCTGTTGCGGTCTCGTAATGCGCTTTGGGGGAAAGGCTTCAGAGTCTCGCGTGGTGGTTGGTTAGCGGGAGCACAAGAGGACGAGGCCCAATTGAAATTTGAACGCGAGGCTGAGAGGAGAGCTCCCGACGCGACTGGCCAGCCCGCCACGAGCTCGAGCCACACCCCATCAGCCATTTGACACAAGCCACATTCACCTTGTCCCCCACCAGCGTTCCCGCACCAGCAGGCAGGAGCGAACTCTTGGCGGGTCCCCACACCCACAATCCAAAATTGTGGAAGCAAAATCAACCTCACACTTTTTGAAATTTCTCGATCGTCAACCACGAGCCGAATCGCCCAGTCCCCCGATTTCGACGACAACACCGCCGCCATGGTACGTGATGATTGGGGAAAAACGCTTCTCAAGAGAATTCGGAAATACTAACATCGTGATTTCCAGTCTGCTGAGAAGGCCCAGAACCCCATGCGGGAGCTCCGCATCCAGAAGCTCGTCCTGAACATCTCAGTCGGCGAGTCTGGTGATAGACTTACCCGTGCTGCCAAGGTGCTGGAGCAGCTGAGCGGTCAGACCCCCGTCTACAGTAAGTTTTGTTTTCTCTCCAGACAGCCTTGAGGATTTCGACTCGATTCTAACTCGTATGTCCCCAGGCAAGGCCCGCTACACCGTCCGTACCTTCGGTATCCGCCGTAACGAAAAGATCGCCGTCCACGTCACCGTCCGTGGCCCCAAGGCCGAGGAGATTCTCGAGCGTGGCCTCAAGGTCAAGGAGTACGAGCTGCGCAAGCGCAACTTCTCCGAGACCGGCAACTTCGGCTTCGGTATTTCCGAGCACATCGATCTCGGCATCAAGTACGACCCCGGTATCGGTATCTACGGCATGGACTTCTACTGCTGCATGACCCGCCCCGGTGAGCGTGTTGCTCGCCGCCGCCGCGCCAAGGCCAGAGTCGGTGCCAGCCACCGCATCACCCGTGACGACACCGTCAAGTGGTTCAAGCAGCGCTTCGATGCCATTGTCCGCTAAATGTGGTCAGTTGTGTTAGTGCTGGGCGGAATCAACAAAACAAAACTGGGAAATCAAAGGGAATGGGGAGTTTCGGCTCATCGGCATCTCTAGGAGGAGGGGGGAAAACACACAAAATGGATGGCGTTTTCTCTCCAACGGGCAAATGTGTAGTGCAGCTTATGATACCTTGGCGATTCTTTCGTCCACCTGCTTGTTCCTGCTTTTCAGCAGGACGAGCCACGGCCTCAGAGACCGACCGGCGTTATGCCGGCTTACCAATCCCTTAATTCCCGTGACAGAAGCGTTCTGCGCGTCTCCCTCCCACTTGTTTGGTGAAGCAATGGATGTGACTGTCCGAGAGCTCGTCTCCTCGAAGTATGGTGTTCTCCAGGTGTTGAGGCTCGTATGTGCTGCAGCATGTGCCGTAGCTTCGTAGATCAGGAGTCAGCGAACCTGTTTCTTGTCCGCTGTCAAGATCGAAACTAAGTATCAATAGTCTGTTGGAGAGACTCGTGGCTTAATGGTCAGGATCTTTACACATGTCAAGGACTAGGCAGTTAGCATCACCTCGCTCATCAGAAGTGTGATTCTACAATCGAGGAAGTCGATGTTGCTGCCATGGCCTCTTGGGGAACAAGTATCACAAACACACATAGAGTAAAGACAGACCAATACAATGATAACAACTATTTCCCAAAACCTCCAATTCTGTGGCTGAATGACACCGCCGCCCGCTCACTTGCTAGCTAAATTACATAAACCCTCATGTACAGTATATGCATATCATGCCAAAAATGCATTGCATTATGATAGCCCTTCTTGCGTCCCCCATTCATGTCATTACTGGGACATCAAATTAACGCTGACTATCCCCTTCCTATTTCCCTTTTTAATGGCCTCCCCGGCATGTACATGCGTTCCTGTTATCGTAAATATCATCCGTCCACAACTCAGGAGCCATCTCCTGATATCTCATCATGTGTACAGTATATAAAACAATAGAAAGAAAGGACGATGACTCAAAGAGCATTCATTGAAATTGGGTTAACTGGAGGACTGGGCAAAGGGCCAGTCTCCTGCGCGGCATACCTGCTGGCGGCAGAAGGCTTTCTCTCGCGCTGGGTCGAGTGGATGTCGATCAGTAAGTCCACCAGAGTTTCGGCGTCCTCTCTCAGCAGTTCGAGTTGCGCCTGGTTGTTGTCCGTAGGAGTGTTGCGGTATGCAGCAAAGACGATGCCTCTATTCGGCTTTTTGGTCGATGGGGCGCCCAGAGATTCCTGCTTGGAGGGATGGTAGCAGGTGTGGAACGAACACATGTATCCACGGGCGTGTTCATCCTGCTTCAACTCGTCGCTCCTATACTCTAGCCAGTCTTCGGTCTGTAGGACCTTTTCATGAACAGGCGCGGAGATGCGGAATGGGTATTTGATCGAACTCAAACCGTAAGCTGCGAGCAGACGGCCGGTTATTCTCCTGCTGGGTGTCCTACGGACAGAGGGTGTCGATCCAGAGATCGGCGTCTGAGGAGGAGAGGGCGGGTATGGCGACCGTCTAGAGGATGGTCGAGAAAGGCCCATGTCATTAGGCCAAAGATTGACCACATACACGAGATCAAAGTTGTATTTGGCCGCAATTCTCGCAGCTTCAAACGCGGCGGCCGTTGCTGGCCTGCTCGCAAGAGGAGGGGAGAGTGTCAGAAGAGGATATGTGGCAGAGGGTCGGCGAGGAGTAGGCGAGACTGGGGGATCGGGTGGCAATGGGAAGCTGGGCGGATTCCGACTCGATGGGTTTGGGCCCGGCTGGTTTGGTTGAGGCGGCATCGGAAACCCATCGAGGATCTCGTCGTCGCTAAGCGCCATGAAGTCGTCTAGGCTTGGTTCCTTCAGGATCGTGTTGCTCTTTGCCATCGGTTTGGTCTGTCGGAGGGTCGAAAGACTGCTCGTCTTGCGCGGCTCCTTTTCAAGTTGGCCGGAGGCTTGCTCCCCAAAGACATGGACACTCCGTGATCGCTCGAGAGGTTCGATCAGGCCAAGTTTGGCCCGATAGGCACCAGCAAGAGGCCGTGGAACGAGACTGGGAGATACCGGAGGAGAAGCTGGGGGAGAGCATGGAGGTGTAGGAATCGGCGCAGGGCCAAATGATAACGACGGAGATCCTTCTTGTTCCGAAGGGCACCGCTTTCGATTGATCGGCGCCTTGGGCGAGACAGAGGGAGAAGTCGAACGTGGATTAACCTTGGAATTGGATCTCGACCGACGCTCCATTGTATCGTTATCACCCAGGCCCAGTGCGCCTGCTCCATCGAAGCTGAAGTCGAGTAGTTCAGCCAAGGAAGAACTGGTGCGGCTACTCCTAGGGCTGAGAGACGAGGTTCTTTGTGGAACGCGAGGGCTCTTCGCTGAGTGGTTGGATGGCCGAGGACTGATACTGATAGATACCAGTGAGTTCATACGAGGTGTGCTTGGGGCATCCGGGAGACTCTGCGCGCGTCGAGATTGTCTTGGACTCAATACGACCTCATCTCTGGCCATCATTCGTTGTGAAGTCGGCCGGATGAAAGATGGCGAAGGGAAGGTCTGCGAAGTGTCTCCTCCATTTGCTGACCAAGGGTCAACCGAAGATGGCTCGCTCTCATGCTCGGGTGTTCTAGAGGTAGTCTTCTTTTTCGACGTTGAGAAGAGCCGGAACCTCTTCTCAAGCCTTTCGAGCTTATCGAGACCCACGGCCATTGTGCTGTCTCGGGCTCGACCAGGTCTGAGAACGCCTGATCAGCAACGGTACAACTTGAGATGTGTGATGAGAGTAAATGTTGATTCGGGGAAACTCACCAGAGATGAGCTGAAGAGAGCGAGAGGTGATCACGGCTGGGGGTATTGAGTTTGTTTAAAAAGCTGTGTTGCAGTGGTGGCGAGATGGTGAATAATTTGCTGGCTGACTGGCGGAACCCACGACGAAAGGTGATGAAGAGTCGCAGTGCTGTTCCCAGGAGAAGGACGGGCGTGGTCGGTGATACAGAGCCTTGATCACTTGCTCATGACGGACATTTCAGTGGGTCTGACAAGGGGAGTGCAGAGCGGAGATGTCGATGTGGTCGGAGGGAAATTGGTGGTGGCCGTCAAACGGGTTGCTCCTCAGGGTCTCATGAAGATGATCGAGTTTGTCTCTGCCACACGCTTGTCCGAAGGCCACCTCGAGTTTCTCGAACACGGTGAAACCAAAAGTCGATAGAAGTCTGAGACCTGGCAGGGCTACTTATGGTCGTAAAAGGGAAGAGGATCGAGCATCAACGGAGGCGGGTTCGGTGGGTGATATGCTTCTCGAATCTCCTGGCCGACCTTCCGGCACCGTTGGACCGCAGCCAATCCCACGGGGTTTCACCGACAGTGGGAGGGGCACGAGACGAGGGGAGGCCGAAAGAGAAGCAGGAATTTTGAGACGAAAGGCTTTCGCGTCTACGTATGCCAGGAAAAGAAGAAGAAAGAGCACATCACCAGTCCAGGCTAGTGTGGCGGATGCAGGAGGGCGGAGGTCGCTCTTTCCTTCCGAGAGGCTCGACGTTTGCAGGAGTAGGGACGACTGGATATTTAAGCCAACTTTTTTTTTTTTTTTTTTGCTTGCTTCTGGCTCTATAATCAGCTGGAGGCTGGATTTGACATTGGCTCGTCTGAGACCTCGTTGGTGAATTCAAGAGGGGAAAGAAACCTAGGGTCTGGATCCAGGGAGGAGGAGGTCGAGATCAAAGATCAAAACCAGCTCTAAGGGGAGGACAAACACGGCACAAAGGGTGGGTTGTCACGAAAGAGTAACCTAAACTGATGAATCTCAAGCTGCAAGTGATCCATCTACCCATGTCGTCCATCCCAACCTTTGAGAGCATATCAAGCCCTCCTCCCAAGCCTCCCCTCCCGTGGTGCCCTTCGGCCCGGCAGATGGGGGTCATTGCATCCCTGTACAACCTCTCTCTCCCTGACTCTCAACCAGCAAGACAACCCCCATGTTTGGCCATCGATGGTGGACACTGTGTTGCGGCAGATCGGCTCATGAATACATCATCCTCCAGCCCATGTCCAGATGCCTGTTTTCATGATCCGTCTCTGTCAACTCCCACGCTCGAGTGGCAAGAAAGGAAGCCGTCCAGCTTGGCCAAGGTTTATACGGAAGAAGCGATGCTGAAAAAGCAATATCAACGACGACAAAACAGGCAGTGTTGCGAGCGGGAGAGAGGGGACCTGGATGGACGGCGACGAAAACAGAAGTTGGGATATCGGCGCACAGACGCTGACTGGGAACGTTAACAACGGTTGAGGTCCGTCCCCCTCCAGGGATCACATCAAGGGCAACATGCACCGTCGCATCGCGGGGGGGGGTGATTGAAAAGATCACATTGGCGGTGACTTCCTTTTCCCATCTCTCCTCTTTCCCAATTCCGCTTTATGAGAGGGCCAGCCCCCCGTCAAGACCTGTCAGCCGTGCCGCAACTGCTACGAGCCAGGATTCGACCCCACCCAGAGAGGGCCTTCTCAACCCTGCCCCCGCCCCAATTTTTCAACTTCAGGGTAGCATTCTGGCGAGAGCCGCCTTGGATTTCGTCCGAACTCGACATCACATCACCACCCACTCCCACACTCCTTTTCCCGACACCGGCACTCGACGTCTCGAGAATTCCGACATCTCAACCTCTTGCATAATGCGGTGAGAGAGTCCCAGGGCTTTTGTGCTGCCTGCATTGCGGCCTGCCTGGTTACGGCCGCGTATGGTTGATGATGAGGGGGACAGTTTCCTCCTGTCTTGAACATCGGCAGCCCCCTCTACCTACCTATCCTCAAAGTTTTTTTGTTTGTCGCTGCCCTGTTGCAAAGCGGCGGAGATCGACAATGCATGACAGCAAGGCTGCTTGTGCTAATGTAGGTCTTTCAGCGCCATTTGCTCCCCGCTCCAATCATCCCTTCGTAGCCATCACTTCTCAGATCTCAGTAGACAGCCAGAGTTGACCCTTGGCTAGCCACCACTTGCATCTGTCATTTTGACAGCCAGCTCTAGCTTCTTGACAGCATTTTCAGCTGGGGGTTTCCTGGTCATGAGGATCGATCTCCAGGATCCTGGTATCTCAAAAATCCCCCGATCACGATGGCTCCCCACGACATCTCAAGCTCGGATCTGGCTTTTGACTCTCAATCCTGGGCTAGTGCCATTGGATCATTGAGGGGTCGAACGGCGTGCTGCTGTAATAAGTGCAAACAATGGGTTTATACTTTTCGCTTGACACAGTATACCGGAGCGTGCATGGGTTTGATGCAGTTTTCTTCTTTTCCTCCTATTGCATTACCTTTCACAACCTGCTGGCCATACATGTGGTCATAATCATCCTCACGTATCGGGTCAACCCCCGAGCAGCACCGTGACGCGTGTGTTGCTGTAGCTTCCCTTGTGGTTGGGCGATCCAACATAGGATATCCTCTCGGCCCGGCCCCCAGTGGTCGAGAACATTTACCGACCCTCCTACTGGCAGAGTCTGGAGTCACTCGTTGCCTCTGATGTCAACAATGACGGACCCAGAGCGGCCCGGAAGTGAATCCGCTGGCTTGTTAGCGTCTTGCTTTAAGATGTGAGAAGCCAGCTTCCGCGGTTGGCGAGGACCCCCACTGGCTAGAGTGTGTCCTATACGCATACAGGATCTTGACAGCTTTGGGCCTCGCGTACACAGCAGCAGCATTGCATCCCGTTCACTTACAGCTGCTTCAGGCACGAGGCTACACAATGTCACACTGGGACGCAGCAACTAGCGGCGCTGGCGGCGGTGGCGAAGGGACATACTCGCACCGCCTTGGTTCTCTGTTGCAGTTGGAAACGTGCCAGGACCTGGTGTATCACCTTGCCCCCGGGACTCTGGGACTTTTGTCTCGAGAGTCATTTATCCTCTGGGCCTCCGAAAGGGTTGTCTCGGACCCAGCTATGACGCTGGACGCTGGAAAGGCCGGTTTGCCCCAGCCAATCGCTCGGTCGGGACTCGAAAGAAAAAGCAACAAGGAGACTTGACCGAGGTGCCGTAGCGTCGGGTCAAAGACGAAAATGCTCACTCACGCACGGTGAGGAAAAACACCCAGACCGGGTCGTCCTTTTGCTTGTGGATTCGGGGTTGCTGGGGAGCGAGCCTCTGTATGTCACAGTGTGTGGTCGAGCGAGCCGAGGCTGCGAGTATCCGGTGTCAGTCAAAGTATGTCCCTTTCCTCCTGTTGTCATGCCGTCGACCTCGAATACGATGATATGATAACCGCGAGACTTGGGGCTGAGAAAACGACAGAAGCTGTACGCCCGTAACCACCTGAGGGAGAGACGCTCGAAAAGCTAATTCCTTGGCTGTTGGGTATTGTGTTACTCTCACTTCTCACCATGTTGCTGTCAAAACAGCAGAAAGCGTCCGCCACAGTGTGGGATGGACAAGCAGCACACGCAGTTGTGGCTGCGAGTACCTACCTGAATGTGCTCGACTAGACACAGCCCCCCCCCCCCCCCCCAGCACACACGCGCGCTTGACCATTAGGAGAATTCCGCGCATAATAATATTTTTCATGCTGTTTCTCGTAAATTCCTTGCTTAAAAATTCCAAGCAGCTGGACGGTTCTATAGTGGAGGATATCACGGCCTTGCCAGTTGGCACAGTTCCTCTACCTACATCCAATGATGAGGATTTCCGTGTGTGTGGGATTTCCGGTCCCAGCAGCGGCAGCAGCGGCAACCGGCACACCACGGCTGAGAAAAATGGGAGGAGGTGAGGTAAAGTAAGATAATGTACTGCCTGTCGCTTCCCGCGAGAGGAGCCCCCCCGTTATCTACCGACCTCACTCAGATCCAACCCCTTGGACGCTGGGTGATAATGGGCGGCGGCCCGTTTTGACCTGGAGCGGAACGGGGAGAGGGGATCGTACAGGTGCCGCACGGAGGTTTTTATGTACGAAGGGGATTATCTCGATCTCGGATGCTCCCCCTTCCCCAAGATATTGGTGAGTATATGTGTCCAAGCGTGCTCATGATATATTTACATTTCGGTCTAATATATTCTTTGTGCTCTTTTCTTCTTTCTTCTACTCTATACGGTTGTCTGGGGAATGGCTTCATAGCAATGCCCATATCCGAGATCTTGGGGTCTCAACACCCCTCACAAGTTTTTTTTTTCACTTTCTTTTCTTTGCGGAAATGTTTCATGTTACGCCATGTTGTAGATTAGAGTAGAGCATGGTAGACATGAACACGTAAGCCCCGTTTTGTACTGTTTCGTTGTCAATCTTTCTTTATTCCCATCTTGATTATCATTATCGCCCAGAAAAGAGAGAGAGAGAACGTCATAAACTTCATCCACACCTTCCCTATGGTGGTGGTCTCTGAAAACGGGATCATCGCCCAGACGGCATCCTACATAATCACCCCTTTTTTCCCCCTTCGCCTCCTCGCGCATATGCGGGATATCTAATGCGAGGGGCCGCGGGTCGCGCCCGACGCACAGGTATGGTACATGCTTAATGCTGCCGGTAAAGGGAAAGAAGGGGGGAAGAGGAAAACTCAGAGTTTGGAAACATCCTCATCCACCTCCCCAAAAATGTTCAGAAAGGCGGTATGCACCTCATCAGTGAGGTCACTGGCCTGAAGGCTGCGGCCTCTTTTGGCAAAGGCAAGGCGGGAGCATTCCTACATGGCTTTTCGTCAGCGCTTGTTCATCTAGAAGCAGGATATCTTTCATATCCTCAAAAAGAAAAAAGAAAAAAGCACTCACCCTCGTAATCACACTCCCGCCAAAAACTGCCAACCCCGCCGTCTCTTCCTCCTTCATCTTGTGTTTAACATCCCACAACCCCTCATGATAAGCCTTCCTCCACCCCAAAAAAGTAGCAATACTCCCCGTGAGCGTATCCCCCTGCCCACCACTCCTCTTCTTCCCGCCCTCCAAGTCAACACTATACGTTACTGTCCCGTTGCTGAGGTGATCTTTTCCCCCCTTTTGCAAAACCATCACCCCTCCCAACTCCCTAGCCAACCGTTCCACTCTATCTGTCTCCTTGCCCTCCTTTGCCACCTCCTTCTCTATATTCAGTGCCTTGGCCAGTCTCTCAAACTCAACTACGTTGGGGGTGAGGACAGCCTCTTGGTAACCCCTTACAAGGTCGGGGTCGTTGCAGATGAGGAGGAGGGCGTCAGCGTCGAGGACCATGGGTATGTTTTGTTTCTTTGCCGCTTGGATGACCAAAGCAACGGTTTTTTGCATGAGGGGGTCACGGCCTAAGCCGGGGCCGATGACGAGGACATGGAGGCGGGAGAGGAGGGGGATGATTCTCGAGGCGATTTCGGAGGGGTCGGTGTCGTGTTTGCTGGCGGTGGAGGGGTCGCTGTCCTCGCCGGCGGGTTTGGCGGGGGAGGAAGGGAGGGAGCGCATCAGGGGGTGGACCATTAGGTTGGGGGAGTAGGTTTTGATTACGGTTGCTGCGGTGGGAGTGCAGATTACATGGGACTGTAAGGGTCATGGTGCTTAGTAAAGTGTATATGGAGGTGTGAGGGTATATCTTCATGGTGGTCAGTCCCCAAAAGCAGGGCGAGGTAGGGTGAAGATCTCAAGGTGATGTTCAAAGGGAGTAGTTAAAGATAGAAGATGAAGAAACACATACCAAATCACACCCCAACCTAGCACTCGCCATAGCAGAAAAGTACGGCGCCCCCGTGTAATCCTCACTCCCGCCGATCACGGCTACTCTTCCCATCTGCCCTGTATTCTCATTCATCAGCATGTCTTCTTTAACTCTCCCTACTCTCCTCACCCCCAATATCTCACCCTCCCTACCTCAACCTCCACGAGGAGGTAAAACAGACAGATAACGGTAAACGTGGAAATAATAAACCAAATCGAATGTAGGGACAGAAAACAACAGTCTCACTCACCCTTATGAAACCTCTCCAACATAGGCGGAATCAACTGCCTCACCCTCCCCAAAATCTCCTTCGTAGCAGAAGACATACTGGCTTCGCTATTCGGGGTTCCACTGCTGCTCATCTCTACACCTCCATGTTAACCCCCTAACCTCAAAAAACAACACTAGCATAAGATGGATAAGATGGGATGAACCTCTCTCTCTTTGCCTCGAATGAGGGGCAAGAGCTTGCTTACCTCCTTGCAATTTGGAGCCGTTGTTGAATCAGGAACAAACTACTCGTGGTCTCAACTCAAATGTGTCTCAGTCGGTAAATCATTTAATTCAATGCGGCTGCAATGAGTGAAAGATCGTATTGGTGATTGTCAAATTGGTTGCAAGTTCTGGTGTAAATTGACGTTCGTTCGCCAAGGACCCATCATGATGTCACCGAAGTACCCAGTGGAGGGGGTTCGGGCGGTTGCTCCTAGCTCCCGTGCCCCACATCCATATCATCATCAAAGCACAAAACCACCAAGTCATGGAAGACTGTCGTCCTGAAAAGGCGATGAAGGCAAATCAAGGTGTTTTGAGAGATAGTTGATAGGCGTTTAAACATCGCTGGGATGCCTTCAATAATGCTAAATGGGCCTTATAGTGTTATCATGAGACCTTCAAACATAATCAGCAGGCCTTGAATATTTATTAATACGCATTGAAAGATAGTTTTTTTTTTCTTTTTGGGATGCCTTGAAAGATAGTCAAGAGGCCTTAAATATGAATGAGCAGGCCTCAAATATGTATCAGTAAGCCTTGAAACGTAATCAAATGGCCTTACGACATAGCCAAGAGATGTTTCTGTTACTTTTCAAGGCCTTGAAAGGACGTAGCATTCTCCATTCTCATATTCACAACATATCAGGCAAACAGCCTAGGGACAGTTCGTGTATCATATTCAATGACAAAAGGAATCGAGTGCTTGATTGAGTCTTAACGCTCTATTTTACAATGGTTTTCACCGGAGAAAATCTCCCCTCCTGACGGGTCCTTTTCTCAGTCAAGCACCCTTTTGAGACGGAACACCTGCTCTAGAAACACATGGACTCGGCGGTATAGACACCCCTCCCCTTTCCCTCACTGATGGCCCCAGGAACTCCGCGACGTAACGTTTTATATTATGTGCATTTAACCGAGGAAGCCCTTGGTGAAGGTGGAGATGACGTCCTTCAGTCTAGCCTCAAGGTCCTTGCTGATGGCACCCTCCTTCTCGATGGTGGCAAGGAGGTCAGCCTCGTTGGTCTTGAGGTGAGAGAGGAAGTCAGCCTCCCACTGGAGGATCTTGGCAACGGGGACCTGGTCGAGGAAACCGTTGACACCGGCGAAGATAAGGGGAACCATCTCGTTGACGGCCATGGGGGAGTACTGCTTCTGCTTGAGGAGCTCGGTCAACTGTAGGATAGTGTTAGTCAGCTGTATTCTATTCTCAAAAATTGAGTAAACCTACGCGTTCACCACGGTTGAGGGTCTGCTTGGTGGCGGCATCAAGATCGGAACCGAACTGGGCGAAGGCAGCGACCTCACGGTACTGGGCCAAGAAGAGCTTGAGCGAACCAGCGACTTGCTTCATGGCCTTGAGTTGGGCAGCGGAACCGACACGAGAGACGGAAAGACCGACGTTGATGGCGGGACGGATACCCTTGTAGAAAAGCTCAGCCTCCAAGAAGATCTGACCGTCAGTGATGGAAATGACGTTGGTAGGAATGTAGGCAGACACATCACCACCCTGGGTCTCAATGACGGGAAGGGCAGTCATGGAACCACCACCGTGCTTGTCGTTCATCTTGGCAGCACGCTCGAGGAGACGAGAGTGGAGGTAGAAAACGTCACCGGGGTAGGCCTCACGTCCGGGGGGACGACGGAGAAGAAGGGACATCTGACGGTAAGCAACGGCCTGCTTGGACAGATCGTCGAAGATGACGAGAGAGTGCTTGCCGTTGTCACGGAACCACTCGCCGATGGAAGCGCCGGTGAAGGGTGCCAAATATTGAAGCGGCTGGATTTTTCTGTCAGTAGAGAAGCCTCAAGAGCGAGAGAGGACGTGGGAGAAAGGGGGGAAAGGGGTTGAGGGTTGGGGGTTGTTGATGATGGTTAGGGTTGGGTTTTTGGGGGAGACATACAGCAGCCTCGGAGGCGGTGGCGGCGACGACGATGGAGTACTTCATGGCGTCGTTCTCCTCGAGGGTCTTGACGAGCTGGGCGACGGTGGAGCGCTTCTGGCCGACGGCGACGTAGATGCAGTAAAGCTTCTTGGTCTCGTCGTTGCCGCTGTTCCACCGCTTCTGGTTGAGCATGGCATCGAGAGCGACGGCAGTCTTGCCGGTCTGACGATCACCAATGATCAACTCACGCTGACCACGACCAATGGGGACCATGGCGTCGATGGACTTGAGACCAGTCTGCACGGGCTGGTTGACGGACTTGCGGGGAAGAATGCCGGGGGCCTTGAGCTGGGCACGACGCTTCTCCTTGGTGTTGATGGGGCCCTTGCCATCGATGGGGTTGCCGAGAGCATCGACGACACGGCCGAGAAGCTCGGGCCCGACGGGAACGTCGACAATTTCGCCGGTACGCTTGACGGTCTCGCCCTCCTTGACAAGACGATCAGAACCGAAAAGCACGACACCGACCTGGCCGGCCTCCAAGTTCATGCACATGCCCTTGACGCCAGAGGCGAACCTAACAGGGGTGTTAGTTCGATATCCGGGATATCAAAAAGCACGGATCAAGGTTTTTCTCAACGTACTCGACAAGCTCCTCAGCCTGGACATTGGCCATGCCGTGCACACGGGCGATACCATCACTATTCAGGGACTCGGGTCAGTGTCTATGTTCGCTATTACGGTTTGAGCGGTGAACGCGGGGGGTCCAAGATGAGGCCGTAGCAACACAAGCTTCGCTGTTTGCTCCCGTCCTCGTCCCAGCCATGCCACCGCCAAGCCCCTCATGTATTTCTGGAAAAAACGTACCCGACGGAGAGGACACGACCGGTCTCGGCGAGGTTGGACTCCTCCTGGACACCGCGGATTCTCTGCTCGAGGATGGAAGAGACCTCAGTCGGGGAGGCCTTGGCCTCGGCGAAGGTGCGGGCCTGGATGGCAGCGGGTGCGGCATTTCGCTGTGGACGGACCAGTTAGCCAACCGAAGACCGAGAGGGGCGCAAAAACAGTGAGCATAATTGTGTGAGGTGCCCATTGCCCATCGCGCACCGGTCCTAATGCCCCGGCGGCATAACAAAAAAGCTTCATGAAGCTCGCCGACAGCCGGCCGGGGACATTGAGATTGATTCGGGGCGTCGAGGGATGGAATTGGGATCGGGTCGGCCGGGCGGAGAGAGGTGATGTGTGCTACTAACCACAGCGAGTCTGCTGGTGGCAGAGAGAGCGCCCACGGCGCGCGTGCTCTGTCTGAGGGCGTTCCGGAACATCCTGACGAGGTATATGGGGCCTCTTCAAAATAGGGAAAACAATTGCAAGCGGGTTGCAATTGCGTGGAGGGGAGATTTAGACGGAGAGGTTGATGGAAGATTGGAGAGCCGGCGTGAGGAAAATTGTCGAGAAGGGCTGGTTGGCCTTGGTTCCCAGCACAGAGTGGGTCAGAAGCTCCGGGGCAACCAATCAACAGACGGAGAGAATTTTGCTCAATCAAGGCTCCCGAGTTCCCCACCTGGCATCTTCAAAAACCTGAGCTGGATCGAGCTGCCCGACACAGCTCTCGCAACTACAAAAGACATGGTGGTGTAGACGAACGAAACCATGGGGTCCTTCCCTGTCAATTCATGGCATTTTCTTCTCGTCGAGGCCAACCTGCTGTCACGCCCAAACCTCGGGGGTTCTTCCCCCCATATATCCCTCTCCTCTTACCAACGGTTGTTCAGCACCTGGTTTCCCGGGTAATCCCGGAGAATTGCAAGAAGAAGCTCTGACCAATTCCGATCCAAGCTGCCATCGACATCACACATACACACACACGGGTGTCTTCAGCCAACCACATCGACTTGGCAACACCAAAAGCTCTTGATTTCATATTGACAGGTTTACAGAAATTCTCAATCTATCAACAAAAAGCACCATTACCCTAGGAAAAAATGCTCCAGGCATTCTAGTCATTCTTCAATATCTTCCGGCTTCAACCCCTCATGAGCCCCTCATGTCGCAATACTCGGTCTTGGCGTCCTGTCCTCAACCAGTCACTTAATGCTAAGCTGCTCAAAGTCACGGGAAAACATGTCAAACTCCCACTCGATAATGCCATCGTCTTGATACGTTGGCATCAATGTCCCCGATATTTCCCGGACAGCCAGGTCGATATCCAGCGGCTCGCCGAACACACTGACGAGAAATGTTAGCATCGGCACTCAGTTATATCACAGGGTCGGAAACCTTACACCAATCGTCGGATAAAAGGGGCCGCCGACAGATCAGCTACCCTTTGCATGCAGTCTGCTACATTCTCAAAGGGTTCGCAATCCACGTCCGAGGAGGCCTTCATGTCCCGAACCCATATCGTAAAAACGGTCAAGACATCTTCCTCTTCCTCTTGGAGTAGGAACTTCTTGTCATCCTCCGAGTTCAGCTTGGGGTGGAAAATCGCCTCAAAAGTTTGTTTGGCCATTTGCGCAGCTTCCGGGTCTCTGACCCTTGGTTGTTCGGCTGCATCTGGTTCGAGGTGAAAAGCCCGGTATGCGGCCAAGAACACCGATAGTTGTTCGAGGATCTCATCCTCGGAGAACCACTCAATGGCAAGGGCAAATGAAGGGTTGACAGAATGTTCGGTTGATATGGCCTGGCAGGAGCTGTGTGACCCAAGCTGTAGTTCAGCTTGGGTATTTGTTTCTGTTTCTTTTCGTCAGCATCAGCTCTGTTGTTGCTTCCCACTCATTGTCTCGTTCACTTACTGGTTTCGGCAATCGGAGTGTTGCCTGGGTCGATGGCAACACGAGTAGAGCCAACCAGATCAATGGTGAGCTGCTGGATATGCTGGAGTGACTGTCCAGTTGCCGGCTCCTGGTATTGCGCCTCAGAGTACCCCTCGTCTTCGACATCGACACCCATACTGCGCCTTGCCTTCTTAGGACGGGGAGCGCATGGAGAACCGGGAGCGCGCTTCGACCCTGTACGGATTGGAGTGTCAGGTGTCAACGGAGGGACCTGGCCAAAGATTAAGGCCTGCATCGACAATGTCACAGTTGGCGTGTGAGATGAAGTTGTCGCTCGGGCTGTCTCCAGAGAGTCTTCGCTCGGACGGTGGGTTTTTTCTTGATCATTGGAATCATTGGCATCAGACGCCTGGCTAGGGGTGCTCGGGGCGTCTGTGTTGCTTTCGCTCCCAAGAGTGAGAGAAGGTGGTCTGGACGGCAACAACTGCGAAAACAAACAACCTATGCCGGTCATCGTCTGGTTGTCTGGTCCTTCCTCCAGCTCCGGAGGCGGCGTTGCAGGGGCAGAAAGCGGAACAGGAGCTGCTGAAAGCCGGCCAAACAGCCACGAGCCGCGTCTAGCTGGCTCCTCGGGCACATTCATCTCTAGACTGGTATGGCCTTCTGTGCTTGAGGTTGTCTTCGACGTGTTGGTTGAGGTCCGTTCGGGGCAGACCAGTGGGTCTGGTTTATCAACCTGCCAGTTTGTCAGAACGAAGTGTAGTGCTTGCCAATGACTACTACCAACCATTTGATTGCTGCTGGACATTGCGCTGGCGGTCCTTGGCACTTGATGGCGCGGTGGGCGATGTCAGCGATGACTTCGGGGCGGGCCCCAGTGATATGATCAGAGCACTGATGAAAAGGGGACCACGGCTGAAATGTTTTCTTTGGAGTTGCTTGACTAAGAGAAAGACAAACTTGTCTTGAATTGCGAATATTCAAGGTCTACCTTTCACCTTTTGTGGTGAGTCTTTGTGGGCCCTCTTATATCAAAGTCCTCCGGCGGTTCCCTCCCAGACCAGAAGCCCAGAAGTCCAAATGTGTGGGGTGCATCACAGCCAACCTCGCCGGCCTACCCACACTTGACACAAAGATTATTTTTCTTCTTTAGACTCCAAGATGGTGTCCAGCAGCCCAGTACGGATAACGGGCGGTAATTGGGACCGCCAGAGCACATGGCCTGGAACAAGGCATATGCAGCCTCTTCAGCCTCCATTTCTATTTTGCTATGGTCTTCTGCATCCCGCAATCTTGGCTTTACACCACCTCAGATCAATCTGCAGAATGAGTTTTATTGCAACTCTCAATATTTCTTCAGCCCAGGCACGCTGCATCGTGGGATCTGCCGCGAGGCTGTAGGTCGCGTCAATTGGTCGCCTATGGCGGCTGGCGCTTACCGCACAACTCCTGATTGGGGCAGTGGTCCCAACAGGCTGGACACGAACGAAGCTTCGCCGCAAAAGCAAGCCATGTGTGTTTGAGGACGTCGAGTCCCACTTGCTGAAGGGATTGGACTGGTCGGTCAAAGATGGCGGGAGCCTTCCCCGGATGGTTGGACTGTCGGGATAGGGGGGCATATCTGCTGGCCCGGCCCAAGGCTTTGGTCGCTATGGGAAGTTGATATCCAATGGATTGAGAAGAATCAGGGGTGTGAAGTCAGCATAGGAGAATGCCCTCTACGCAAGTGCAACCTGCCTGCAATTGTTTTCCCTATTTGTGTGCCATTGGCAAAAGCCCTAGAATGATCTATTGCGTGGTCGGCTGTGCTGCGGCCATGAGGGGGCTCTGACATGCGAGTCAACTCGGGAAAAGCGGGATGGGGTTCGACCCGGAATGAAGTCCCCTGTTCGGCTTCGCGGGAGGCTCCCTCCCGGCATTGGGGATGGACGGATTGTGGGTGGCCGGTGGATGGGGTCAGGTCGTTCATGTGGGGGGAGGATGAACGTAACGTTGACTTGGCCGGTATGGAATGTCTCTTGGGGGCTGCTGATCAGCATGATGCTCGATAGTAGGTGCCAGCTGATGTTTGCCGGATGTTCAGGTTCCAAGGCAGGTGAAATGTTAGTCGATGGTATCTGACCTAGTGTGGTCCTATGCGAGTATTGGCAACTGGCCTGGTGATCTGAAGCATGATAATATTAGCCCCCCAATCACACCACAAGTGCACAGATGGACGTGCAGTTCCTTGAAGATCCGTTCCCATAACAGCAACAGTCTAGTTCCGTGGAAGTACTATCAAAGCATGATGGTGAATTTTGTATAAAATCAAACTGCCCAACTCGTACATCCTCTAGCTGAAACACCCCCAGTCTAATAATACAACCAAGAATAGAAAACTTTATAATACAGTAAATCACATCATAGTCCTAACCCTCATCGGACTAACAACCCTCACCGCAGGATCAAAGCAAGCCTGCTTCAACAATTGGTATTCCTGCCCCTGAATATTCCATGGCAAGCCCAACGGTTGATCCATCACCGCCATCCGTGATCCAATCTCCTGCCCCTTCCCCTCACCAAATTGCCCCTCCGCCTCACTCCCAACACTAGGACTATTCTCCTTACTACTACTGACCTTCTTCCCCCCATGGTGACAATCCGTCAACCTCGAACCCCCATACCTTCTCTTGACATCCTGATACTTTTCCATAGGAAAAACCTCTCCTTCCACCTCGGTAATCAGCGGTACAGAGAAATCTATTTGCCCCAAAAAATGTCAGCTCTTTTCACCTCAAGGCGCAGAAAAAAACTTACCACCACCCAAATAACTCTCGACCTTGTACCCCGCCACCCCAGCCGCCATCCTCCTCCCGTTTTTCCCTCCCCCTCTCTTTATCACAAAACTCGCCCCCTTTTCGCTTTTGTCATCACCCCCATCCCAATCAACAAAAAGTTTTGGCCTCCCCCCAAAAAATTCCACCTCCCACTCCGCCCCAGGATCATATCTTGTCACGAGCCTCATGAAATCAGCGTCTGTGACTTTATCTCTCAGCTCCCCCTCCTGGGCGTGATCGCGGAGGTAGTTGACAAAGAGGTGGCACAGGTGATGCGTCACCATTGCTGCAATATGGAAAGCTAATCTTCTGAAGCGGGCTGTTTGGGCTTCGGAGGCGTCAAACCGTTTGTGGCGCCTGGATATGTCTGACTTGAGGCGGGAGTGGTAGAGTTTGGTGACGAGGTGGGTGTTGAGGTGGAGGATGGCGGCGCTTTTGGGGTTGAATCTCGAGGAGAAGGAAGGGGGGAGGTGGAAGAGAGAAGTGGTGGAGGGGCAGGCGAGGAAGCCGTTGCGTTTTGGGTCGAGTTTGATCAGGGGGAGGTTGTGGCGGACGGTGTAGAGGAAGTCGTCTACCGCGGAGGGGGTGTTAATTTTTTTGGGGAGGGGGGGTTCATGGTTGGAGATGGGGCGTTCGCGCCAGACAAGGAGGGATTTCTGGGCGAGGTTGGAGAGGGCTGGATAAAGGTTAGTGATAGGGAATAAGGGGGAGGAGGGAGGGTGGACTGACCTTGGCGTCCTCGGGGGCTTTCGAGCATTCGGATGCCGAGGTCGACGACGGAGGAGACTACCCAGGCTCGGCCGCCGGAGGGTTCGAGGGGGATGGTGGTGCCGTTGTCGAGGAGCTCTGAGATGCACACGCCGTAGAGGCCGCCGGTTTCTCTTGGAAGGAGTTGAGGGCGGAGTTTACCTTGCTCTATGGGCTGGGGAGAGGATGTCCATGTTGTTGAAGGGATGGAGGTGGAAAAGGCGCGGCCGATCTCCTTGCTGTCTAGCTCTACCGCGTGGGTAGGGTAGGCTGGGTAAGCTGGAAGAGATTGGTGATGCTTGTGTTGCGGTACCGGGCGTCGTTGAGGAGGCTGCTCAAAAGAGACAACACTCGGCTTGCCGATGATGCTATGCCCAGCCGAACGTTTACCTGTAGCTGGCTGGGCAAACGAAACGCTGGGTCCGGCAGTGGTACTGCGCTTTACCAGGCGTGAAGGAGGCTGCTCAAACGTTACGCTGGCACTCGCACTGGCACTGCGCGAGGGTGCCATCGCCACCGGTGATTCAGGGGGTAAACTGAGAAGGGGGTAAGCTAGGGACAGCTTTTGTGACAAAGCTCCTGATTCAGTGCTCGGTGAATGTAAACAAACTGCATAAAAAGTTGAAACAAACAAAAACAATGCAAGAGTTTCTTTGTCAAAGCTTTACGGTTCTCAGAAAAAGGTTTTAGACACAATCCATGCTTGTCGGCTTCATCCTTGTTTGACGAGACCAAAACCGAGGCATGGGATGCCCATGCCCGCGTTGGGGGGACGATGTGTTGATATAGGCTTGGATCTACTGACCACCTACACAGCCATATTTGGCAGCTCTAGATGTCCGCAGTCAACCTACAATAATGTGAATCATATATGGAACAGGCCAATTCTGGAGAGCCGGGCCTGCCTGTCCCGACTGGCCTGATGACCAAGTCATCATCAAGTCAGTGGAGAACTGTCTGTTTCTGGGTCCGAGAGAGGTCGTTGTTCATGATAAGGAAAGAGCGTGATCTATAGATCGCTAGCGACATGAATATTTTCCGTGGGGGACCATGAGGGCCAACTGAGTTGGTGTGAATGATACCGACCAGGCAGCCAGCCTGGATCAATAACCCGAATGCAGCGTGCGTAACCGCCGGGAATGATAGAAGAAAGTGCGACGAGAACGAGGTCTGTAGATGAGCGACTCATGATCCGGGAGAGCAGTTGCATTTGTGTGATGCGGTCTCGGCCAGTTGTGTGGGTGGCCCAGCAGCATAAGCTGGTGTTTCGGGTCAACGGGTCGATACTCGGCCATGGGTTTCCATGGCCAGAGACAATAGCCCTTGTTCGCCGTGCCACTCATCTCTGAATTGAAAGATTCAAGAGAGCCTTTGGAGGTTTGAAGATGATCTGAGCCAAGAATCCAAGAATCCAAGATGTGTGAAGTTGAAAGAGATACGTAATAGTGGGAAGGGTTAGGGTTAAATGAGGTAGTTGGCATCCCTGCAGCTGCTCCCGCTGTCGCAGTTGCCGATCTGCCACACCGTTCAGAGTGCCACTGGCATGCGCGTTCCAGCTTCATCTCTCAAAGGACATTTTCCCAATTCGCGCCTGAATAAGCAGCCAATCACAGCATGGTGCCATTGTCTGCTATACAAAGATTACACTGAATTCCTCGTGCCTGAGAGCACTGTAAGCATCGACTTTTTGTTGTGTGCCCTTTCGGGAACGCCTCGTGGCACCTTGTTGCAGTACCTAGGTACCTTGCTGGCCGTTGCTGTCGCTGTCGCTGGTCACAATGGCTCCCGCTCCCGGCATGGCACCCTACTCCGATGAGCCGACCGGTCCCTTCCACAGACCAGAACACAACGACGAGAGCACAGGCAGGATGTCGCACGAATCTGAGTCCTCGGTGTCTACCACGAGTATCGTCTTCGATCGGATCGAGGAGCGCCTCGCTGCCAAGGAGGGCCACTTCGAGCTCGACGACCACGACCCCATGAAGGAGGCCGACGACGACGACAATGACCTCGAGACTGGTCGCTTCCTCGGTGGGAGATCCAGCACCCAAGAGGAAGATTTCCCAGCCAAAAACGATGGCATGAACCGGGGGATGCGCAGGACGCTGATCATCGTGGCCGGGCTCTTGATCTCGGCGTGGGTTGTCGGTCTCTTCTTTTACGTTTCCCACAAGTCCTATAAGCCCGCCTCCCAGATCGAACACGACCCTCAGGCGACTGTCGTGCAAGGGACTGGGAAGCAAGTGACGCTCGATCAGGTTATGGGCAGCTACTGGCGTGCTGAAAGTCACTCCATAAGCTGGATCGAAAGCCCGGACGGTGAAGATGGGCTATTGCTTCTGAAGGACGGCCCCGGAAAGGACTTTCTCGTTGTTGAGGATGTACGGACCCAGAACAGCGCTGGCGTGAATGCCGCTGTGGACGTTGCGAGCAGCAGAACGTTAATCAAGGAAAGGCACTTTGACTTTGGCGGCCAGACGCACACTCCTGGAAGGGTATGGCCAAGCAAGGACCTCAAGAAGGTGTTGATTGCAACAAATCTGGAGGCCAACTGGCGCCACTCGTTCTATGCCTCCTACTGGGTCTTCGATGTCGACATGCAAATAGCAGAGCCCCTTATTCCTGGCGAGCCAAACGTCCGCGTTCAGCTTGCCCAGTGGAGCCCTACCAGCGATGCTATTGCCTATGTCAGAGACAACAACTTGTTCCTGCGCAGCCTCAAGCACGACAAGGTTGTCCAGATCACCAAGGATGGCGGTGCTGAGGTGTTCAACGGTGTTCCTGACTGGGTATACGAAGAGGAAGTCTTCTCGGGCAACAGCGCTACCTGGTGGTCCGAGGATGGCAACTACATCGCCTACTTGCGCACCAACGAGACGGGCGTCCCTGAGTATCCTGTTCAGTACTTCCTCTCCAGGCCCAGCGGCACGGAACCGGCACCCGGCGAAGAGTCGTACCCCGAGGTCAGGCAGATCAAGTATCCCAAGGCTGGTGCTCACAACCCCGTCGTCAACCTCAAGTTCTACGACGTGGCCCGCGATGAGAGTTTCACAGTGGAAATCTCTGGCCGGTTCGCGGATGATGATCGCCTCATCACAGAGGTGGTCTGGGCTGGTGGCCAAGTTATCGTCAAGGAAACAAACAGAGTCAGCGACGTCCTCAGGGTCGTCCTTGTTGACGTCGCTGCGCGCACTGGCAAAGCAGTTCGCGAGCTGGACGTCAAGGCCATCGATGGTGGCTGGTTCGAGATTACGCACAAGACCAAGTACATTCCAGCTGACCCTTCCAAGGGGCGTGAGCAGGACGGTTACATCGACATGGTGATCCACGATGACAACGATCACCTCGCCTACTTCACGCCATTGAACAACTCGGAACCAATCATGTTGACTTCTGGACATTGGGAAGTTGTCGACGCCCCCTCCACCGTTGATTTGGATAACAACATTGTCTATTTTGTCGCAACCAAGGAATCTTCTATCCAGCGCCATGTCTACCAGGTCGATCTGTCGGGCAACAACCTGAAAGCGGTGACCGACACGGGCAGTGAAGGCTATTACGACATTTCGTTTTCGGCCGGGACAGGGTATGCCCTTCTATCTTACAGAGGTCCCAACATTCCCTGGCAAAAGGTTATCAGCACTCCAGCAAACGCACACAAATACGAGCACATGGTGGAGGAGAACAAGGAACTGGCAAAGAGTGCCAGGGAATACGAGCTCCCTATCAAGATCTACGGCACCATCAAGGTTGACGGTGTTGAACTCAACTATGTTGAGCGTCGCCCACCACACTTTGACAAGAACAAGAAGTATCCAGTTCTGTTCCAGCAATACAGCGGCCCTGGGTCTCAGAGCGTTAACAAACGGTTTACTGTCGACTACCAATCCTATGTCGCCGCCGGCTTAGGTTATGTGTGCGTAACTGTTGATGGCCGCGGAACTGGTTTCATTGGACGCAAGAACCGTGTAATCATCCGCGGGGACCTTGGAAAGTGGGAAGCCCATGATCAGATCGCTGCTGCCAAGATCTGGGCGTCGAAGAGCTATGTTGACGAGGAAAGACTGGCCATTTGGGGCTGGAGTTTCGGTGGATTCAACACCCTCAAGACTCTCGAGCAGGATGGTGGACGGACCTTCAAGTACGGCATGGCCGTTGCCCCAGTCACCGACTGGAGATTCTACGACAGCATCTACACCGAAAGATACATGCTTACGCCTCAGACCAACGGGCATGGTTACGATACAAGCGCCATCAACAACGTCACGGCTCTGAAGCAGAGCGTCCGTTTTCTCATGATGCACGGTGTTGCGGATGACAATGTGCACATGCAGAACTCCCTGACGCTACTCGACAAGCTAAATATGGTTGGCGTTGAGAATTATGATGTTCACGTCTTCCCAGACAGTGACCACGGGATTTATTTCCATAACGCCAACCGGATTGTTTACGACAGTAGGTTCTCTTTTTCGACAGCGCATACTGCTCAACACTAACAACCGCCACAGAGTTGACCAACTGGCTCATCAATGCCTTCAACGGAGAATGGATCAAGGTTGCCAATGCAAAGCCTCAAAAGAAGAGGAGCATACAGCCTATTCTTCCAATTCTATAGGAATTTGAGACGGGGTTCAGCAAACACGGCGTTACTGGGCATTGATCGGCGTTTTGGTACATGACTATTCTTTAACGTTACAATATGAGGCATCATGAATAGAAACAGATTAACTCCTTCCTCTCCACCGCCAATCTCCTAGTTGGAACTCAAGATGTCCGAATCAGTTGCGGATGGGTCTCGACGCTCTGGTCGATCTTCTCGATAACCGCAGCAGTTCCATACGCGCACACTTGGGCAAACCCGCCCATGTCACCGGCATCGAATCTGAGGGCGATGACGGCGTTGCCGCCTCTGCTTTGGGTCTCGGCTACGATGCGGGAGATGGCGTCGTTTCTGGCCGAGTAGAGCTGTTTCCGTGTCAGTTACCTGGTGTATTCAGATGTTGGTGAGGGAAAAAAATGCCGTACCAGGTTGGTAAACCACTTGAGCTCACCACCCACAACGCTCTTCAGCACCATCGACATGCCTGCCGCCCAGTTCCGAGAACGGACAGTAATGCCGTAAATTGCGCCTAGGACTTTGACGACACGGTAGCCGGGGACGTCGAACATGGTTGTTGTGATGACGCCGTTGGTTTCGGTGAAGCAGTGGAGGTCCTGGATGGAGGCAGGAATGTCTGCTTGTTGGTTTTGGGGTTTGGTGGAGGAGGACATCTTGGTGTTAGAGTTTGGCTGGAACTCGAAATATGGACTCAGATTGTTCTATTGTCTCGGGACGGTTGAATGATAGCTACCTATAGCAAAGAAACATGGACATAGACTCGTTATATGCACTTTTGAGCTCTGCCAAAAAGAAGCTGCCACGGGAACAACTGGCAGACTCCCGTCTCCTGCCTGCCCGAGATGTCATCGCCATGGCAAGGCTTTGGGCCTCTTTCAAGCCAATGAATATACCGCACGTCCTCATAACCTGGAGGTATGCTAGGACGAAGTTGGCCGTATTTCGTATCCAGCCACGCCAGCTTCACTTACACCAGAGCACAGCCCCACTTACCCCAGGCCAAGACGGACTTGTCAGGGGGGGTAATGGCAGGGCTGAGAGGGGATCAGCAGTTGGGCAGACAGCAGGCTGGATGAAGTCGGGTAAGCCGACTGCTTTCTCGGACAGTATTCAGACCTTAAGCCATCTTACTTGTCATGGGAGAACATCGCATTGCGGGAGATATCGGAAGTGTGTCAAAGATGGACAAAAGAAGGGTTAGGGTAATCCGCCAAGCAAAAAGCCCAGAACGATCAAGCATTGCCAAGAGATCCGAAAGCACTCCACGAACCACCATCACTATCAGTCAATGATACCCAACTGCTGTCTGGCGCATCTGTCAAAAAACAGATCATAGTCCCTACACTTTGCGAACAAAGTGCACCGAGAGATGAAGTCTGAACCAGAAATAGAAAAAAGGGAACAAATATCGCGCGGCAGGAGATGGGTAACACTTTTCACCGGGGAGATTCCCCACCTCGTTTAATCTGGAATCACGGAACGTCCTTTCCAGGAAAACTGGTCTGGGGGGAGGACGACGTTCCGTGATCACCAGGGGCCGGCTCCCTACTGTAGGAACAGGCGGTTGGCGATGCCGGCTCGCTAATCTTCAATTTATCATTCAGCCGCAAGAGGGGAGACAGAATGAGAATGGTCTCATTCCGAGGCATGGATGTGATCTGGGTTGATCGTCCCGGAGGTGAATGATATGGATATATAAACCATTCTCACCTCCATCCATCTTACATTTCCGGATTTCAGGAGAAGTCACTTGATTACCCCCATCCTTGACTCCCTGTATAAGCCACCCAAAATGCACCCCTCCCTCCTCCTCGGCCTCCTGGCCGGCACCGCCCTCGCCGGCACCATCCGCCGCCCCGGCCGTCCCCGTCCCCAAGCCCCCACAGCCGAAACCCTCTGCCCCATCGTCTTCGACGGCCGGCCCGACTCCTCCCTCGAACCCCTCGACTTTGACGACTGGAACACCTCCCCCTTCAACCCCGACTACGTCAAAGGCGCCGGCCTCCCCTGGTCTTCCATCCTCCAGTTCCCCGACATCTCCCCCCCGGCCCGGTTCGACGACCCGACCTACCAGAAGCCCTTCGAGGTCACCATCAACGACTCGTCCATCTTCAACAACCAGCGGGGCTTCCGCCGCGCCGGCCTGCAGTTCCAGGGGGACACCAACCGAGACTCCCCCGGCTCGTCGGGCATCAAGACGATCCACTTCTCCCTCAAGTGGGACGCCCAGCGGCCCCTGAACCTGAGCCACGAGTACCTCAACGTGTGGCACGAGACGGCCGACTACAGCGCGAACCAGTTTAACTTTCAGGCCGGCGCCATACTCGGGCAGAACAGTCTGGCGAGGGACACGTGGAAGGTGCTCAACAGGCAGAACAGGCAGGTCTGGAGCACGCCGATCCTGAGGAACGAGTGGCAGAACTTTGCCATCTCGTTGGACTTTGTCAGAAAGTTTGTTTACCTTATTCCCACACGCCCTATCCCGGTTATCATGACAAGGCAAAAACAAAAAAAACAAAAAAAAAAAAGGTGTGAAATGGTTTAAACTGACATGAAAAATAACAGCACCCTCCGTGTATACTACAGCAGAGGCTCCGAACCCCTCCGCAGCGTGACCAACGCCCTGACCAACAACAACGCCGGCGAGGGCCAATACCAAGTCGGCATCCTCCGCAAGCCCACCGGCACCAGCGACGTCGTCAACTCTGGCTACCACCAGCGCAACCTCAACGAAGGTCTCATCTACGGCAGCGTCTTTGTCGAAGACGGCGAAGGCGGCTGCGTCTCTCTTTAATCCCCACCTCAAAAATGTACATAAACCATTATCAACATTACATAAAACATATGAATTCACACCGTTCATAACTCCCCATCTTTTTTTTAAAGCCAGTTCACCATCTCAATTTCACCCAAGGTAGGTACCTAATCTATCCTCAAGCATCGTCCCCGTCCCCATCCCCGGGAATAAACCCCCTCCCCCCACTAACCCTCCTCCCCTTGACGCTGAAATTCCCCGGGCCTTGGTAGATCTGCCTGGGGTAGCTCTCGCCAACCATGGGCATGTCCTCCCTGCTCAGCAGCGCCCGTCCCTCCATCCTCGTCTCGTTGCTGATGACGCGGTAGAGCAGGAGCTCGGCGTTGAGGGGGGTCTTGACGGTCTTGTTCGGGAAGGTCTCCTGCTCGACGTTGAAGTCGAGGGACCAAAAGACGTCTTGCGGGGTGGGGGGGGAGTCGGTGTTGCGGTTGCACCAGAGTGGGTGGACCTCGCCGATTGTTTCGGTGAGGGAGGTGCCGATTGTGTGGCAGTAGGTTGTTAGGGGGGTGGATTCGAAGGGGGTGTTGGGGGGGAAGGTTATGTTGAAGTTCACGCTGGTGAAAGGTTAGTATTGAAGGTATGGGACGGGGGGAAAGATATGTCGACAGAGTAGGAATGGGAGGAGGAAGATAGACGTACTAGAAGCGGTGGGAGAGGATCACGGCGCCGGCTCGGAAGTTTGTGATTTGGATGTCGGGGATGGGGTCGATGCGGACGGGTTGAGGGGGAGGGCGGCCGTCGTTGTTTTGGGGGGCTCTGCCTGCCAGGAGGGCACCGAGGAGGGCGGTTGGGAGACGCATTGTTGGTGGTCTTGAGTCTCCGTATCGGTGACAGTTGCCTGGCTAAAAGTCTTTGTTGGTTGGAGGGTACAATTCTCTCTTGTGCTGGGGAATAATTTATAGGCGAGAAATGTATAGATTGCTCTATCTGCTCCGCCCGCAAGCCTGACAACAAAAGGTCACGAGAGTTGTCTCCGACAATTCACTGCTTCGTCTGGAGTCCTCCGCCATCTTGGATGCTCCAGATAAAGGGGAGGAAGTTGCTCTGAGCCATTGCTCATCCCGTCAGTTGCCGCCGGTCTAGAGAGAGCAAGAAGAATTGAAGCCTCCTGACGTCACGCAACGCTATCTTTGCTCCTGATCACAGCCGCGGTACCCATTTATTGGAAAGCGTGATACACAATGGTTTTGACTGTAATCTCCGTTATGCTCTTGTTGACAGCGGCTCAGGGGTTCAGATGAGAGCCACGAGAGGGTTTGATATGGGGCTGAGTCTATCGCACGGAGGATATGATGAGGTTGCTCCGGGAGCATCTCTTATCAATATTTTACTTATTTTGGGAGCTTGAGACTATCTACCCGTCTACCTTCAGCTGATGAGGCCCTACACATATGAATATCGAGGTGAATGTCAGAGGGGCAATGAGCGGTGTACCGTCACACACCGAGACCTTCCCGGATCCGAGAATAACCACGTCTCTTCACCTCAGTGAATCCCAAAAAGGAAGTTTTCATTTGTTCAAGTATATAACCACCGCTATTACCGCCAATATTGGCATGACTGTCCAATTGGGTAATAGTTGGGCGGTGAGATAGTGAGGGGGTGTCCGAGAAGGTAAGTGGAATGTCGTGGACCTGATGGAGGGGCTGGAGGGGAGATGGAGGGGAAACTTGGGCAGAAATCTCGATTTGATGCCGTGTTCATGCCTACATGTGCGATGGGAAAGACTGAGTGGTCCAGCGGACGTCTGAGAGCTGCAGTAGCCCAGAGACAGAGAGGGGTGAATGCTGCCCCACCGCCAACTCAGCAGGAGCTTTGCTTCCAGCCCTCAAACCATGCCCGGTGGCCCGGGTACACCAAGTTTTGAAATCGGGTAGAAAACCTGCTTTTTCCCAGCCGTTGGGTTTTTGCATTTTCCTTTTCCTTTTCCTTCTCCAAACCCTTCAAGCCAGGCGGTCTATCAACTGTCTGCTTTGGATTGAAGGAGTAAACCCTTTCCGCGGCATCGTCGCCGAGTGGAAGTCCCCCACCAACGCTGGTCCGATTCGGCCCCGGCCACGGCTCCAATTAGCGGGCAGTGACCAGGGGTGCCGTTTCGTTTCCAGGCTCATTTCGGAAGGGCCGTCACCCAGCCCAGCGTCCACTATTGCCGATTTGACCCCCCCTTGGAAACGACGAGACGATAAGAAGGAGAAAAAAAGATCTGACGACGACGACTTTGCAATTCGCAACACCATCACAACCTCCTTTACGAAGCATCGAGACGCTGTTGCCTTTGGCATTACGTGTTGACCGGTTCAGCCGTTCTTTCGGAGCTACCAAAGGTACGTAAGACGCCCATTGTCATTACCTACCAAATTTCCAAAGGGACCCCACAGCAGCAGAGGGATTGGATTCGCGCCCCCTTTCCACCGCCTGGGGCGTTCCCAGTTGTAGCGGCCCAACTTAGGTACTTATTGTATTTTTCAGCGATTAACTTTTATCGCGTTCTTGCCAGATCTCTCCAATCCCGCACCTCAGCCTGCAGCCTAGCAGCCGTCGTCAAGACACCACGCCTGCTGGTCGCATCTAATCTCTTCGCCTCCTCCCCTCTTCGCCGTGCTTGCAAAGCCACCAACACCGACAGCATGTCCATCCAGGTTCCCATCGACCTGCTCACATCGCGCTTCAGCATGGGGGAGCGCTTCAGCAGCCTGCGCGCCAACACCATTGGCAACCGCTTTGCCAACCTCAAGCCCCTCTCCGAGTTCCTCGACATCAAGCGTGTGAACAAGCCCGAGAACTTTGTCGAGATGCAATCGCGTGTCAACTACAACCTCGGCCACTTCTCGAGCAACTATGCCATCGTCTTCCTGATGCTCTGCGTCTACGGCCTCCTCACCAAGCCCTTGGTCTTGTTCGACATCATCTTTGTCACCGTGGGCATGTTCATCATTGGCAAGCTCGACGGTCAAGATCTCGAGTTTGGTACCCAGCGCTTCTCGACAATGCAACTTTATACCGGCCTTTGGGTCATTGCGATCCCAATCGCCCTGATTTCCGGCGTCTTCGGCCTCATGATGTGGTTGATTGGCGCCAGTGGTGTGGTCATTCTTGGCCACGCCGCACTTTTGGACAAGCCTATCGATGAGGCTTTTTCCGGGGAGGTGGTCTAGGTGGTCGGCCACGAGCTCCCAAATTTTCGCCCCATGGGGGAAGACCATCCAGGCGCGAGCGGAGGAAATATGAGGCGCGCCAGGGGGACGACAGCTGGTGGGGTGATGACCGGCGTGTCGAAGAAGTGGATGAATCTGATTCTGGTGTCGGGCTGGCCTCGAGCGCATTGGTCAGACGGGGTGGAAGCTTTGGTTCGGGCATGAATATCGTTGCTCGGGAGGACGGAGAGGAGACGACGGACGACTCGGAAGACGGGACGGATGATGACTATGACGATGACATGCCCATGCTCAGCCCGCGGGAGGAGGCTCTCGCCGAGGCTGCCATGGCACGTGTAGCGCGTGCCCATTCGAGAGGCAAGACGAATGTGAAGTTGGGCAAGGAGGAGTTGGCTGCCTATCAGAAGAAGCTGGCGATCATCGAGTACCAAAGGACGAGGCCACCACGGAGAGAGCGTGTTGCTGTTCCCATCACTGCACTTGGACCTGCTGCCCGCAGCGCCAATCGACTGCCATCTGACGGCAGCACACCCCCTTCGGCCTCTTCGCCCGATCCAAACTCGGAAAGAGAACCAGCACAGCCACCAATGGGCTACTTTCCTCCTTCCTCTTCGCGCTCGTTTCCTCGTTCAGGCTCTAGTGCATCCAGGACACCTAGCCAGACCAGGGTTGACAGAGACCGGGACTTGTCGCCGTTCACGTATTCGTACATTCGCAAGGGCGATTCCGAGATTCGACCAAGCTCTCGGCAGCCCTCTGATTCTTCCGACCATCCAAGGGTCCCTCAACGCCGCAGCGAGTCTCAGGATCCTTTCCAGTACATGACGGACAAGCAGCCATCGCCTCTTTCAGGAGCCTCAGCCTCGTCGCGGACACTTCATCTTGATCCTTTGTCGGGAGCACCCTATTATGGATCTTCAACGGTTGTTCGCCGACGGACCGGCGGTCACGAAGACAGCGCCAGCGGCAGCGAGGACGCCTTTGACCCTGCGCCTCCTGGGCGGGTCAACAGCTCCGGCACCACCCGTCCTGACTCGAGGGGCGATGACAAGTTGTCTCCTTCGGCCAAGAAGTCATCTTCTTCCAGTTCGGCTGTGCCTTCTCGCAAGAAGTCGGTTGCTACACGGACCAGCATCTTGGGTACTGCTAGAAGGAAAGCGAAATGATAAAGCCGAATGTGTCTCTGTTTTCTGTTTTTTTTTCTCTCTTTTCATTCTCCTCTCTGGGCAAAGTTTTGTGTGCGTGCGTGCGCGGCGGTCGGAGTCTATTTATCATCCTGGAGCAAACAGCGCGGATTTTGGGAAAAGAGGATCGGCTGGGATAACTATAGACTTGTGGGAATTTGAAATCAAATGAGTTTGTGTGAAGTTTTCTTGTTTGCAATATGTGCCCTTGCCATGTTTGATTGTCCTGACTTACAAATTCCACCGAGGTATACTTGACCATTAACGCCCGTTGTTTAATAATATCCATCATGATACCTTTTCCCACGTACCATCATCATCATCGTCATCATTATCGATTGTCGTTTGTGTCAGTTAATCAGAAAAGAACTTTGTCACCCCCTTGACCATCCCATCCCCCCATCCACCACCACCCCCCAAGTCCCTAGTAAAACTCTCGGTCGTCTTCTCCCACGAACTCCCGTCGTAACCCCTCGTCGATCGTTCCACTGTTGATCTGGCCATTTTGACCGCCCCGGCGGCACCCCCAGCCGCCCCGGCGAGTTTGACTGCCTCGCCGACGAGTCCTACGCTGTCTCCTGATGCGGCTTTACCGGCCACCCCGATGAGCCGCTCGATTGCTTTGGGGAGACGGATCCCTACTTTTGCGAGGAGGGCGGTGAGGAACCCGCCGGTGAGGAGGGGCATGATGACTAGCATGAAGACCTTGAGGGGGTGGCGCTTTGCGTGGTTGAGAAGGTCGCGAAGGAGGCGGCGGATTTTTTTGTGGAGTTTGGTTAGGAGGTTGGGGCGGGGGGAGCGTTTATAGTAGGAGGAGGGGGTGCTTGGGCGGCCGCCTGGGGGGGGGGAGGGGAGGTTAGTATGGGATATAAGGAAAGGGGGGGTTTAATGTGTGGGAGACGAACCAAACCCAGCAAAGAAGGAGGATCGGGATGCGTTGCCGCCTGCGAGGTTAAACAACGCGCGTGAGGCGTTGGATTGGGAGAAGAACGAACGGGAATCATCATCCACACTGCCCCTATGACGAGACCTCGACCGGGAACGGTTGCGCTGGGAGCGGGAGGGGGCGGGCTCATGGTCGCCGTAGATGAGGTCGTCGTCGTCTGAGGACGGGGAGGCGAAGAAGGAGGTTATACCCCCCATCACCGACCCGCTTTCCTCCCCCGCATGACGATGATGATGCTTCTTTGAAGAACGGCGCCTGCTCCGGGAGCGCTCCTCGCGATGATACTCCCGGGGAGAAGAGCGGTCCTTGGACCTCGAACGGTGGTGCTTCCTGCTGGAGCGGTGGTGGGATCGGTGGTGCCGTTTGGAGGTTGAGTGGGCTGTTCGACCCGAGATGACGGAGGAGGCGTCGTCTAGGAGGCCCATTTTGACGATAGAGTCTTCTCAAGATGTGGTGGAGGTTCTCGCGAGAAACAGGGGACGCGTTCGTAGGGCTGATCAGCAAGGTCCCTTGAAAATAATGGAGCTATCACCAAGAATAGCAGAGGCACCGCAAAATGCAGGTACGAGTTGCGTCAAACCAGACACTAAACCAATGCACGAAACAAAGATTGACAGCGAAGCAACAACGGATACACATCTAACCCAGAAAAATGGAAACGAAGAGAGGGGAGTGATTTCACCGCTTCGCCTCTCCCCGCGAATTCAACAAATGCCAAAAATCATGAGGCTGGTCAACGAGCTGTGATCCTTGTCGGCATGTTGTTGATTGGATGACAGGTTGCGGAGCCCTGGCTGAAACGACTGTTGGTGCCGCAGGGCTGCAGGTGTAAGTGACCCTAACCCTGGGATATTCTGTGAAGCTATCTACATTGTCTCAATGCTGTCTATTAATATTCCCCGTTCTATCCCATGCGTTTTTGTATCACATCAACTTCAAGCCAAAAGTCTTTCACTTTCCCCCTCAGCCCTCGCCTCTCTCTCCTTCTTCAGCTGCTCATAATCAGGCAGCCAAAGACTCAACACGGTAAACACCAACGCCATAGCCACCATCAACACCCAAATCGAATACCCATGCAGCAACCACTGCGCCTTCACACTCAACGCATACAAACTCGCAAACAGAGCCGGAGAAAACGACCTCATCCCGCTCACCACGGCCTGCGAAATCGACACCAACGTCCCAAGCATCCTCGCAACAGGAGCAACATCATTGACAGCAAGCTGAATAGCCGTAAACGACATACTCACCCCGCTCCCCAAGCAGAAAAACACCGGCGCACACACCCAAAACACCGTCACAAACTCCGGCCTCCCCGTCCTCACCAACATGCTAAACACCGGCCCCAGCGCAAAGAAGAACGGATACGCCTTCGCACAAACCCTCATAACCCCATTCGTCCCAATCCTCGCCTGCAGCCTCGGGAAGATCGCCAGCATCCAAACCGCCTGACTCAACCCAGTAAGCCCCATCAGCCACGAAATCTGCACCGGCGAGAACCCAAACCCCCCCAACTCCACCTTGGTAAACCAAAACACCGGCAAGATGGCCGTGTAAGAGTAAGCCAGCAACATCACCCACCCATTCACCACCAACACGATCCCCACCCCGGGACTCCTCACCAACTGCCCAACCGTCATCCTCTCCACCTCCCTCTTCCCCTCCGTCCCCCTATCCAACGTCTCCTCCACCCAAACCCCTACCACCCCAGCACACCCCAACCCCATCCCCCCAATCACCAAACTAGACAACAAATACGGATACCGTTCCATCAACCCCCCCTCGAAAAACCCCGGCCACGTCCCCGCCGGCTCAGCCAACATCCCCCCCATCAACGGCCCAAGCGAAATCCCCATATTATTCGCAATGCTAAACCACCCAAACGCCTTGGCCTGGTGGTTCCCGCTCCTCTGCCCGCACTGCTCTGCAATCATGGTCCTGATCGTCACCACGTTCCCCGCAAAGACACCCGCCGCGCACCGATAAACAATCATTTCTGTGATTGTTTTGGCAGTGCCAAACAGCATCGTCGCGAGGGAAACCCCTACTATGGAGGCGACAAGGACGGGTTTTCGACCAAAGGAGTCGGAGGCCCGGCCCCAGAAGACCATGACAAACATTTGGGTGAGGGAGAAGAGGGATTCGATCAGGCCCGAGTAGAAGCCTACGTCTGTGTCGGGGAGGGCGCCGTTTTCTTGGGCCATTTTGTTGATGTAGGGGAAGATGGAGAAGAAGGCTATGGGTTCGAGGAGGCGGGCGAGGCAGAGGAGGAGGATTTGGGAGGCTGGGAAGGGGGGTTCGGATTCTTCTTCTGGGGGGTCATTGTTGATGGTTGGGGAGGGACCTGGGGGGAGGGCTGCGTCGCCTCCTGTTGTTGGGAGCGGGAGGAGGAGGGGGGTTTGCTCCGTTGGTGGTTTGAGGGGTGGTGGTGATGGTTGTTGTAGCGATGATGAGGAGGAGTAGGTGGAGGAGAGTAGGCTCCTCATTTTGGCGGTGAGCTTTAGCTGATTGTGAGGGTGGTAAGTGCTCAAGATGTTGTAAACGTAGGCGTGTTAAAGTAATGTAAGATCGAGTCGTGAGAAGAGCCGCACTAGGGGTATAAAACCTCGTCTTTCATAAACGGTTTTGTGTGTGTATATCGTTGCTGGCAAAGTTGCTCGACGTTCAGACGTCTTGTCTCATGTCGCAAAAGGCGTGATGTGTAAAGTTTTCGGTTTCATAAACAGCGCGTTTGCATTATATTACCCCGACCTCGGGCTTTTGGAATCCCTAAAACCAACCGATGAGCAAAAGGAAAAGGATGGGAAAATGGGAAACTGTCGTGAAATGCAGGTTCAACCATTGAAAGAGCGATAGCAAAAACCGCACTGGCCAATCCGGATGTTGTTGGTTCCCTTGCTCACATCGTCGATACGATTGGTCCGAATGGATATAAAAGCGGGTTTTGGTTTTGGCCTTGCCTCGACAAAAACGGACTTCTCACCGTTTGACCGTTCCAACTTCCATCGCAATGGCTGTACCTGCCCGAGTACATACATGACCACCACCTCATGCTTCCTGTATCACCGAAAGCCTCCTCCTCAAGGAGATAACTCGCATTCCATTGTCCAGCCAAGCAAGTCAGGTCCGTTCCTGCGCAAAAGGCCAAACCAGCAGCAGCCTGTGTTTTCCCAATACGGAAGGCAGTACAAGTACCAGAGAAACACAGTTCCAGAAAGGAAGGGTCCAACGTGACCTTGCAAGTTGAACACACACACACACACACACACACACACACACACACACACACACACACACCTGTGTGATGTGAAGTGTTGTTCTGGTTCGTTCCATCTGGCAGTTTTGGTTGGTAATTTCTCCGAGAGGGCTTTGTGTGACGAACGAGCGCCACTTTCCATGCCTCGGGAATATCTCAGGTTTGTACTGCCGTAAGTCAGGTCATTCTGAAACTGGTGGTGGTAGTGGTGGTAGTGGTGGTGGTGATGATGGTGGTGAAGAGTTGAGTTTTGAATCGAGATATGCCTATTTATTAATGACCTCAAAGGTAATCTGTAAACTAGTTCGCAACCAAAAAAAAAAAAAAAAAAAAAAAAAAAAAAAAGGCGAGGGTATAAAGGTATCTCTGTCGTAAACCCTTTGAAACCGTTCGTTAAACCCCCCCAAAAGCACCTATCTAAACGCCGTGCTGTCTGCTATTCTCCGGTCGTGTCTTGACCACCCGTCCGTTTTTGCTTCTCCCTCTTGATGTCGCAGAATATAGGACAGAAATGTAGAACAGAAACCGCTGCTCATGAACCCTATTATTATGAAGCCAGAATCCCTGCCATGCATGCAAACCCAAATCAAGAAGCATACCCCCCCCTTACCTGCACCCCCGAACTCAACCCAGCATACCCAGCATACCCCCCATTCCTCTGACTGGTATACCTCCACAACAGGCTCGCCCCCTTGAGCTTCAACTTCTTCGCCAAACCCCTCAGGTCATCCTCCGCCCCTCTCTTGGCCCCACTCTTCTCTGGCTTCTCCTCCTCAGGAGCGGTGCTCTTATCCATAGCCCACACGAACCTCTTCCTAAACCGCCTCCAGTCATCATTCGTCGGCCGTGGATCGCACCACTCCCCTTCCTCCCCAATCTCCCCGAGGTCCCAGTCGTCTTTCTCCTCGTCGATTGGCAGCGGGTAGTACGACAGCTCGTTATGGTGAGGCCGTCGGGGTTGGTGGTTGATGTTGGCTTCAATGTCGAACTTGAACCGGTAGGCTTGGTGTATCTGTTGGGGTCGGTATTGTGGTTCAGATGATGAGGAGGAAGCAGAGGTTGATGGAGGAGACGAAGACAATGGTGGCAGAGATGGAAGAGGTAATGACTGGGGCGGTGATGGCGAAGGGGCATTGCTGCTCATTGGAGTGGGCAAACGACTTGCTGATGGTGATAAACTTGGCATTGGAGTGCCAGTTCCACTGATCGCACTGCTCGGTGCTGGTGATGGATAACCGCCCATGCCCGTCGCTGCTGCCCCTTGTAGTTGTGCGTGTTGCTGATGGTTTGAAAGGGGCGCCATCCCGGATGGGTGCCCGAAATCAAACTCGAACTGGAACTCCTGATGAACGACAAACACCAATGTTTGTAGCTTGGGGAACTTGGCCAGACTGGTCATCAGCTTGTGCATGTTCGTCTTGGAGACCTTCCAGCTCAACACAGGGTGAAAGATTCCTGGGTAGATGCCGTACGAGGTGCCGAGGGCCAGTCTGTTGATGTTGTCCCGCACAAGAGGAATCTGGCTCATGAAATGCAGCGTCCGGTGTAGCCGTTTGACCAACAGATATGGTTCCAGGAGCAAGATGTCCCGGGAGAGGTCGACGTACTTCGTCGTCGGGCCTAGCGTCAACGGTTTGTAGTGGTGAAGCACAAAGCATCGGCTCTCTCGACAGACAGCTGCCAGCGGCGGAGGAGGCTCCGGGTGCACATTGGCAAACATCAACCCCTTCTGAGCCGGAGTCTTCTGTTTGGAGCTGGGAGCATCCATGACCTCGTACACCCGGGATTCTGGCAACGAGTACTCCCAAATCATATTCCGGATCTCTGCCGGTAATCGCTGAAAACTCCAAAACTCTGTCGGCGTCTGAGCGAACCCTCGCCTGTGGTAGTTCTGATCGCGATGCATCATGTCGGGCCTCGAATCGTAGTGGTCGATGCTAGATTTCTTCCCAACCGTCAGAATTTCGTGCTTCGTACGGCCCTGATATGTCGGGCAGCCTTCGTTTCGGCCAGATCCGGTCTCGCCAAGTAGAAAGGTCCTTTCTCCCGTGTCGTCGAGCCTCTGATGATAATAGCCGGCCCAGCCTCTCGGTCCCGCTGGCCACGTCAAATCAACCTCTCCACACCGACTCTTTGAGCCGCTCTCCAACGACACGTCGACTGGGGAAAAAATAATGGGCTGTGATATGAGAATGCCGGTAATTCACTGGAAATAAGACCGCCCACTATTAATGTCCCTTCCCTTTCCCTCGATCGACTGTTGCTACCGCTTGGTGGCGGGATTCTGCAGAATGTTGGACTTGCAGGTGGCAGGCCGGGCGGGAGGGTTGCTTATGAGAAGCTGAGTTATATGGAGGCTTTGGTGTGCGTGGAATACCTGGGGAGGTTGACCAGTGAGAGGGTGTTGATGGGATATGGGGGAAAGTTCTCAGCTGCAACAGACTATGTGCGGTATCACGTCATCCACTATGGAAGGGAGTCTCTTGAAAGGTCAGAAAGCAAAGGAGGAAGTTGGAAGAGAAATCGAGAAGGGGTACGAAGGCAGGACACCACCAAGTTTTGGGGCTGTTCTGTGGCTTCTCAGCTCCCGTCACTTGACAAAGCGAGCACGAGGGCGAACCGAGCTTGACCAGCCTGGCAATGGCAATACGGAACCCTGGACCAAAGCACCATGCTCGGGAGCACGTCGGGAGTAGCACATGTCGGAAACGAGGTCAGGGGGGTGGATACAAGGTGCACTTCTTCCCCCCTAGTGCTGCCAAAACCCAACCGTAGGTGGACTACCATCTGTGCTTGCTTGGACATGGGAGCCGAAGGAATCCTGGACGGCTTTCAAGATGGGACGAACAGGCCCCAAAACCTTCCACAAGAGGCAAACTCCCGCACGGTACTGCTCGCTGGCCGGCACAGCATGACCATGGCCCATCCGAGGCTACCGACTGTTGGGCAGTGGAGGGCTTGGTCATATTCATGTCATTTCTGCTTCCCACTGTGGCAGCCCGAAGACGAAGTGGCTTGAAGAGGCAGCTGGGAGCAAGCCCCAAGCGTGGTCCCAACAAAAAGTGTCAAAGGGAGCCAGCCGGCCATTGGGAAGTCCCCCGTCAGCTGGGGAAACCCACTGAGCATCAAGAACTGGCCGTCTTGGGAGTTGGGAGCGGGATGGCGAAAAGGCAGCAAGGACCCCCTCCTGGGTCCTTTGGCCGCGTATGTAGGTAGTACTCTCGTGGAATAATAAGCAAAGACGAGACATTAACTACCCAGGTCAGAGTAGTGTGAGGTCAGTGAGGTCAGAGAGACAAGGGAGCGCTGCAGAGCATAGCATGCAGCGTAGTAAACGGATGGTACGTGGCCAGGGAAAAGTAGTGAGCTATTCTTAGCATATAAGGGACCACGTTTTAATCCTGCAGTGATCCAATTCATTAGCTCTTCAGGCTTACCGATCTTGGGGCCCATGGTAACGTGCCGTCGAAGCAGAGTCGCAGTTGAGCGCCGGCTCTGGTGATCGAGCAAGTGGAGGTAGTGTTGTAGTGGGACGCCCAGAAAACTACCCAAGTAGCGGTAGGGAGGCTGGTCCTGGTCCTGGTCCTGGGAGGAGGGGGCACAACCTCTTCGCCAACTTGTCCCGAAGACGCCAGATCGCTTTTGCTGGTCAACGACAGAACCAAGATATCCAACGACCAAGTTGAGCCCCCTCCAAAGTTCCAGAAATATCCCTGTCCCCAGGATTGTGACGGCATGGGGCGCCAACAAGCTGAGAAGCCGCCTGTCATGCGTAACGATCAATAGCGCACAGAAATATTAATCAGATTCCGTACACAAACATTGCAGGCGAGGAGGAGCTGCGGAACGGCAACCAAGCGAGATGGGTAGCGTACATCTGCTACGGAGAAAACATACATGTACGTACCAGCCCATGAACGGTGACGGTGACTCGGGGCGGGATGGACGTGGGGATAGGGGACTCCAGAGTACCACATCGAGCATGGATGGCAAAACGCCCGGGCTGCGAGGTTGCGCACGAAGAGAGTGATGAGGGGGAAATGTGAGACCGAACGGACGGAAGGGCCCTTTTTGAAATCCGTGATGAATCCCTCGAAACTCGAAACCAAACGTCGATTGGGTGATCAAGGTCAGTGGACTGGCCCGACGCAGACGGGACGAAACACCAAGCAAGTTCCTTTTCTGTGACTTTGTTTGGTGGGAGGTGCGTGACATAGATGAAAAGACCTCCGTTTAATCAAGTCCTCGACGTTTCTGTTGGTCGAGGTGGTCACTCGCGCCGCGACGGGCGAGTCCGGCCATCGAATGCGGAAGGCCCTCGGACACTTAAGCCATGAGGGGTGTGTCACTGTCACTCGACATTGTGATCATGGAGAAAATGGAAGCGACTGAATGAAGCGGAAGCGACAAACTCCGGCGAGAAAGATACCCAGGAAGTGGGGGCTGTCGGTGAGGTCCGAGCCAGCCCTGCTCTTCTCGCGAGGTTCCCGAGCAGACAAGAAAAGCGGGGTCGGGATCGGTCTGGTCGGCCAAGGAATTGTTCCGGAACTTTGGACCTGACCTCCTCTGATTGGCTGCAGACCGACTGCCGAATGACTAAGCGGGGCGCTCCACCAGGATTTTGGAATATCAACAGCAAGCAGCGAAAATTTGTTTCGGTTTCCTTTTCTTCTTTTTTTTTCTTCGTGCGGCGCCACGACCATTTCAAAACATTACCCGTGTTGCTCGAGTCCGATTCCTTCGGGGATTTCTATGTGACTCGCAGCGTCAGTCGTGGCACAGATCAATGAATTGCACGCCGATCTCTTCTACCAGTCAGCCCACCGAGGAGAACCCCTCCAGGGCTCGGTGGTGGTGTTGAGGTTGGACATAACTATTTTCTGTGACCTTTTGCGTGTGTGCCAATGTCTTGGTACTCGTGTTCGATTTCCCAACGACTTTGGTTCTTCCATCGTTACCAGGCTCTGGATTGTGATGAGGGAAGCTTGTCGTCAATGCCGTCTTTGCGGCGGCTATTGTCAACGGGTTTTACCAGGCATTGTGTTGGATGCTCAAACCGTTTATCCCGTTCCCAATGCCTTTCCAAGCACAACCAGGAAGACCACCAGCCATGCGTTTTAACCCGTCGATCCTATGATTGTTTATTGCTGTGGTTCCAGGAATGAGGTTGGGCGGTACAAGCCATCCATCTTCGAAGTGGGTGCTGGGTTAATTTATCCATATCTCTTTCACTGCCAACGCGTTATGCACAAGTGAGCTGGATTAGTGTACACCATCGAGCTGCCACCTCCTACATTGGGACGAAAAGAGAATGGTATCATGAATTCCTCATCGGAAAACCAGCTACTAAGACTGTTCGGTTGGCGAGAGACATTCCGACCTTAACACCCCAGCCACGCTCATATATATCATAATCTGGAGTCGATATGATTTCTCTCTCTGTCTCTGGAAATGGAAGTCCTCCAACTCCCCAACCCTCAGTCCGGACTGGGTAGCCTTGATTCGTACGGACTCTATTCATCACCGATCTTCTCGAGTTTGCCCATCTCACGCTTCTCCCCAGCCTCGCCAACTAACCGGACACGGTCCAGTCTCACCTTCTCGCTGTCACCGTCCCCGTCCACCACAAACAACACCAGACTGTTGATGTTCTGAAACTTCACATATCGTAAACTGATGTTGGCTGTGCCATCCGGGTTCCAATCCTTCTCCGAGAGCTCGATGACCTGCGTGGCACTCATGTCCTCGGCCTCGTCAAACCCGAGGTTATGCGACTTGTTGGTAAACAGCTTGATGGTTTTGGGTCGCATGGGAGCTTCGTCATCGTCATCATCAGAGGGAGGCAATGAGGTGATCTGGAGATGGTCAGGTCAGTAGGATGCTCCTCTGTGCTGCGTTGGTTCCAGGGGAACGCACCTGAAGAGTGTGTAGCTTAATCATGGCCTGGAAAGGCAAAAAGAGCATCAGCTGCTCATCCGTGTCACTTTCCACCCAGTCCTTTGTGGCACTCTTTTGCCCTGACAGCGCACTTGGCCTGGACTTGTCAAGCAGGGTGCGCACACCCTCTGGGCCAGACTCAACGTTCAGAAGCTCGCAACGGTTGATCTCGATCTGATCTGTGATATCAGTGTAGCCGCGAGGCAGCTCCGCACCTCTCCAGGTCGCACCGCTACTGCTTGACCCTCCGGCGGCTCCTCCAGGGTTCTCGATAGCCTCTTGAAAATGCCCGCGGATGGTCTCAAGCATGCCCGAGAGCTTCTGCACATCTGCCCCTTTCACCCGGGAGGTAATCTGGCCATTTCGGAAATAGATAAAGGTTGGCAGAGAGGTGACGTTGTAGGCCTGGGCAATGTCCTTTTGGGTGTCGGTGTTGACCTTGATGAAGGCCAAGACGTTTTCGTGAGAGAGCTCCTCGGACGCCTTCTCGAAGATGGGCTTGATCGCCTTGCAAGGGCCACACCAGTCGGCATAGACTACAGAAACAAACGCCAGCTTCTTAGCAAGAGTTCGGGGTGCTAGATAGCATGAGGGTGGCCCATGTTGGGGCAGCGACGCGACAGAACACTTACAGTCTGCGACAACCAAGGCATTGGTTTGCAAGATGGTTTGGAACTGCGCTGAGGAGGTAACCTCTATCGGCTTGGAGTCGTGTGTTGACGACATGGCGGGCGACGAAAATTATTTCCCCGGCGCTTTCGCGAAGGTTTTCGATAGGGTGCGGCGAGATGGTGTCGGGCGAGTACCTATGTAATAAGTGTTGTCGATAGTTGATGGTCGATGGAAGAGTGCCCGGCGATGACAACAGAGCTCTGCCCCACGAAGAGACCCCTGCAAGGAACCAGCTGGTGGGGCCTAACCCTGAAGTGTCTTAGCGCGGGGTTCAGCTCTTGGCAGCTCTCTCGGAAACGCAGAGACCATCCGATGATGTTGAACAGAGAATTCTCTTTCTTGAACATTCCACATGTCTCATTCAGCTGAGCAATACACAAAAGCTTCCTAGACAACGCTACATAATACAGGAAAAACAGGTGTCGACATTGGTGTCTATCAGTCTGTGTGGCATCACGGGTAGCTAACCGTCGAACCAGGCTTGTCAACGGCTAACTGTTCAACGACGACAACAACTACATTGTCACCGGTGTGGATTTATGTCAATAAAGGCGTCGAATTTCAGCAAACAGTCTTCACCGTATCAATAGAAATATCTACATAATAGGACTCATCTCGCCTCTCTTTTTGGCAAAGTGCAGTTCGAATGAGACATGCGTCACAAGGGTTCGTTCCGGTTCCAAGCAGGGAAACCCATGGGTCACACAAACTACGTCATAAGACCACGCTCATGAGCACCTCCTCAAGATGCCCGACCCAGCACCCCGACAAGGTCTATGAAGGGGCAGATGATCCGCGAGATTCCATTATTAGTAGTAGTTTTCTCTTCCCGTTGCCATCTGGTCTTTTCATCTCAACACCAGACAATCTTCCCTCACACAAAACCTTGTGTGCTTCGGGTTCTTGACTAGGCGATTTAAGCAACAGTCTACGGCTCTAGTGCCGTTGCTGTGTCCTGCCATCGTTTCTAGGGACTGATCAGTATCAACATAACATTCCCCCTTCCAATCAACTCACCCTCGGAATCGACGTTACCTGGTAAACCGAATCCCATCTCCACCAGCCTCAGGTCTCTCTATCTAACACGATCTCCAGTCTCAATATCCATTACTATCTATCACCGCCACAACATCCACTCGCCCATCATGGCCCTCTACGAACGCGACAAATCCCGCCACAAGAAGTACCTCTACCTCGACCCCCCTCGCCCCGGCCTCCACGAGCGCCGCCGCAAAGTAACCACCATTGTCCCGGCCCGGGTACCCACCCCTCCCCC